GGACTAACATATGGTTAAATTTTATTTCAATAATTCGCTTGGACGTATGGGTCTTTAGCAGTTGAAGGAAACCTGAGGACCCGGAGAAAACCCACGAGGTCGGACAGGCGACTTTAATCCTTATCACGTACAACCGGGGAATCGAAACCACGCCAGTTGACTCACGCTAACCATTCAGCCACCCATCCTCTCTAGCTAAAGGGGAGTTTTATATAAAGCCCTAATGATATAAACCACCCTGCACGTTTCAAGTCAGTAGCTTGAAGCGTATATATGGTATTAGTGTCAGTGGCTTGTGGCACGAAGTAACAGTATATTGTCGCATACATAATATATTATGTCAACGCTTGGGCGACATAATATATTGTGTTGACGCTCCAAGCGTGTTAGCATATTAGACCTGTAGACTCAGTGGAATGTACGCGTCATCAGAGCGGATCCAGGGGTTGGACCATGGGGACCGGTCCACCCCCTTAACAATAGAAAGTGTCCCTGTAAATAAAAGAGGGCATCCTTATCAGAAAAAGGGCACCTGTGATGTCAGAATTTCAAAAAAGGGCACTTTTCTTTCGGATTTTCTTCATGAAAAAGGGCACCCTTAGTCGGAATTTTCATAAAAAAAGGGCACTTGTGATATTGGAATTTTCAGAAAAGGGGCACCTTTCTGTCAGCATTTTTAGAAAAAATGACGCAATACATAAACAAAAAGCACATTACATCAAAAATTTTAGAAAAAAGGTCATCCAAACAGGCAACTGGGTATTTTTTAGAGGAACAATGTCAGAATTTTCAGGAAAAAAAGCCACATAGGGCCCTATATATTGTTCTTCTTCTTGCATCAATTTTCCAAATCTTCTGTGGGTCGGAGCTTCGCAACATCGGTGCTCTCGAAGCCGACATTTACCAGTTATAATCACGTAAATTCAACGGTGCACTTTTTATTTTATAGAGTGCCCTTTTTTCGTTGGTCCTACCCAGTAGCGGATTATCATTGAGGCTGATGAGGCTGCAGCCTCAGACCCAAAGATTTTGTAAAAAATAAAAAATTTGGACTTGTCTGATTAAAAACGCATAGACAATGAATGTTAGGGGGCGGGGTTTAGGCCCAACGGGAATCAACATAGGCCCTGACCCGAAATTAATTAGACCCACGCCATTTTAAATAGGCCCAATAGGCCCTCCAGCAACTGCCGCCTCAGGCCTTGGTGGAGCTTAATCCGCTACTGGTCCTACCCCTTGATGAAATCCTTGATCCGCCCTTGCGTCACGTGATGCGCTGGTTTCTATCAGCAGGAACTTTCTCGACGTGAATCGCCATTGGCATTCCATTATTATTGTTAAACGTATATATAATATAGTGTTCTGATCGCTACTGCCTGGTGGAAGCCTATAGTCACCTCTTATCTTTTAACACAGTCATAAATTGTCAGTTAGGCCTAGCCTCAAATCATTTTGTAAGGTAAAATATCCCAGCCTGCAGATTGGAATTTTATCAGATGTCGGTCACCTTGTTCCAAAATGGCTACCCTTGTCCTTGTCCTTGAAATTTGGATCCGATATAAATATTGAAATTAATGGTTAAGAAGATGACGTAGTCTCTTGGTATTTGATGGGTTTCAGTTTGACTTACATGATCTGGTATTGTAGCAGCTAAAGAGTTTATTATATAGAAGCCTAAATGATAAAAAAATGGCATTATTATTAATTTAATACCGTAGCATTTTTGGGCTGATGGTATTATAGGCCTAGTAGTAATACTACTACAGTATCAGCAGGGGTGTCGTTAACGGTGGTGTCACTTTCCCTAATCCGAAAAGTTGGTACTGGTAAAAATCCTGAAAACAAAATCGCCAGCATGAATACACTGATCACTGACGGACTACATCAGTCAAATACCCCCAGGTCAAATATACCGCCCCCCCCCATTCACATACCCCCAGGGTCATATACCTTCCGGTCATATGCTCTCCCAGTCATATACTCCTTGGTCAAATACCCCTGGTCAAATACCCCCAGGTCAAATACCTCCAGGTCAAATATACCCCCCCCCCGTTCATAAAATACCTCCAGGTCAAATAACCCCCCCCCCCCCCCTCGACTATTTACTCCCCGATCAAATACCCTGTCGACCAAGTCGTCCCGAAAATCCTGAAGTATTGGGGTAAGAGCACATGGTAGTGTATATGTGTTTTTGCGGATAAATACGCAACAACAAGGCAACCAATCAGTGTCTAGTATACCTAGCTGTTGTACTTGCACTATATAGTCCCCATTTATTCATTTGTGGGGGGGGGAGGCAGTAAATCAAAGTTTGTCGACACCTCTAATAAATTGAAGACTGGTTGACAGAAACAAACTGAATATTAGAGGCATCCCACAATGTATTGAGATATATTATCCAAATACTTATGTAAATTGGTTGAGTTTTTTGCTTTTTTTTATTATAAGCACATGCACAGTCAAGTGTTATGTAAATCTTCTCTTAACCCAAATTAAACAACTGAATGATTAAATGTTATTTTTTCAATTACTAGTAATTTTTAATCTAATGAAAGGTTACTAACCAGCAGTCTGGGAATAGTAGAATTCTTTTATGTTAAGATGGCACATCTTTCGAAAGCGCATTATGCATTTGAAATTTATTTGTTATTTGCTCAAGACTTGAAAAGGGCTGTTGATTGAAAGACACGGAATATGGTTATAAACCAATACTGAAAGCAGACCAATATTTAGTCATTCATTTTATATAGGATGCCAATAACTAAAAGGAAAATACAGAGAAAAATTAAGATCTTTTCACCTAATGGAAACAGAACTGTGACAATACATTATAGAAGACCAGGAAGTGATCTACAACAAAATAGAGTATCTGCAAATATTCCAACCACATCTACAGACAACTTGCCTATTAATATTCCCAATGGTAATGTACTAGTACTAAATGTTTTAATATCTATCATATTTATTTCAGAAACACTTTAAATATAAACCAAAAGCAGTGGCTTTACTAGTATTTTTTTACCATAATGAAAATCATCTTTGATTTCCAATTTAGCTAGTGGATTTCCAAACTTATATCAGATTTAAGCATGTTTGTTTAGTAGGCCTATTTATGTGCATACATAGATCAAACAATGACAAAGAATTAAGATCATTCACGGACATCTGTCGGTTTCGCAGACCCTAGGAACTGCCAAGGACACCTAGTCATTCGGATGGAACGCAAAAATAAAACTATGTCCCGTATACATCAGTGCGCACATTCTACTGGCAAAATTTCCCTTCTTGCACCCTGTCTGGCATATGCCTGTCTTCATTAGCCAATACAAAAAGTGCATTAAAGTAGGATGTAGAACCCCATTGTCGAACCCCCATCATAGTAGAATATCATTATAGCATAATCGACATAATTGATAAATTATCACCCCTTCAGAGTCGGACTTGAAGTAGTGGAAGTGTTTTAGGGGATGTGCCATCAACAACGGTCTAGAGGCGCTATTATGAAGTATTTATAAAATGTATCTTTTAAAGTGCTCAAAAGCGCTTCAGGGGCTGCATGTGCCTTGGCACATAGGCCAGTCCGACCCTGAGCCCCTTGTATTCCCAACTCTCCAATATATCATTGTATTTTTTTCAATCTTTTATATTACATGTATTGATAATTGCAGAGTTTAACACAGAGGAAACACCATCCACCTCTACATCCTCAAGTAACAATTATCAAAAGAAAAAACAGCAGACTTTTGATAATTGGTCAAAGATTAAAGATCCTTTAATCGACATTCATATTGAGGAGTTAAGTCCTCCAACATTCGAATGTCAGTTCTGTTTGCGTCATGATGAGAACATCATCTTTTGCTTTGATTGTGGACCCTTGGCATTCTATTGTTCAGATTGTTGCATCAAGGTCCACAAGACAGTTTGTTTGCATTCTCCACAACAATGGCAGGTAAAACTACTATTATAAAATATTTTTTAAACATTATTTTTATCAGTTATTATTATTTAGTTCAATCTCAGTGGTAAAAATGTTTTATAGTTCTACAATTAATAAGACTGTGTATGATTTTAAATTTACAAACATCAGATTATATTTAAACAGTGTAAACAAATTTAAATATAGAATGACGACATTCCAACTGTCTGTGATGATTTTAATATCATATTTTGGACAATAAGTGGTTTTAAGTGCTCAAAATGGCCCTGATTGCCACCGAAGATCATCTACGACCCTGAACCTAAGTGGCCTCCAGACCCCCGACCTAAACAATTTGCGCCTTGAGCCAAACTCAAACCCTAGATCAACCCCTCTCATTTGTTTCAAATTGCATTATTTATATTTAAAATAAGGATGTCAGTTCTGCTCGGGCCATTTTGATCATTTTCTGTGTATCTTTCAGGGTGAAATATATGTCCCGTTCAATTTACCAGCTTGTATATACAAACGATTGGATAAACATGAATGTGAATCACAGTATATCTCACCTATATATGTTGTAGATGTGAAGGGTATTTTTCATTTTGAATTATCACAGTTTGTTATTTTAATTAGTTCAATAACATGTTTTACAAGTTAGCAGCATAGAACAAGTGGAAAACGGTTCCCTTTAAAATCAACTCGTTTAAATGAGAATTTAAATAGAATTTCTCAGCTCTCTGTATAACAACAGATAGTATTCAAACATTTCCTGTCTTTCAGTGTACATTAAGATCACAGACTTGATAACCAGGACAAAATGAAATCTGTCTGAGTTCCGTTTTGCAGAAATATGCATGATTTAGTAAGTGAGCTGAAGCTAGTGGGCAAGAATAGGATATATGAATTCAATGTGAACTAGAATCTAATGTCTTTTCTAATCATAAATATAAAGTGGAATAATATTCAAATTGTTTATTCAGGATCACAGCATCAATGTTCAATAACCTTATGTCATTGTGAAGAACCACCCATTACTTTAATGAGGTATCGTTTGTGGGCTGCTTCTCCACAAAAGCCCAGAATCGCTTTTGACATAAGATTTATGGAGCTGCTACGAGTTCTGCAGTTAGAAGCCCATCTACCCGCAAAGGGCTTTTGTGATGCATTGGATCATCTGGACAATGATTTTATTCATAACTCAGAACATTTTGTAAGTATAGGTTAAATTCTTATAAAGATTATTATCAGCTTATATAGTTTATATGAGTTGGCTCAGTGAGTATGGTGCTCGCTAGCTTGGTTATTGGTTTGATCATCCAGATTTTCCTTTCCAGCTTTCCCTTGTCAGTGGCTAAGACCCGAGGGATTGACAAGCACCTAACCGTTTCGATGGGACGAAAAAGTGAGGTCTCATGTGCATCAGGACGCCTGTTAAAGAACCCAGACATTTGGAAATTGAAGAAGATTAGGTGAATAATCGCTGACTGTCCTGGCAAACATTTTCTCATTGCACCCTGCATGGCATATACCCATCTTCATTAGCCAATACAAAAAAGGGCGCAAAAGTAGGACGTTAAACCCCATTTCATTTATATAGTTTATACATTTACATTTGCATTCCAGCCAAAAGATATCTACAGAGCTGTTATTGGTGATTGCCTAAGGGAATACCTTTATCATAGTTCTTTGCTTAAAACCAGATATACTTATCATGAATCAACTATTGGTCGTGAATGTCCAATTTGCAGGCGGGTAAGTCACTGTCATTTGTGTGTGTGGAGGGGAGGGGTTTGTGTTTCCATGTACATATCAAGATTACTAATGTATTGAGAGTCTGTGACACTAAATTGTGTACTGATGACTGTTTTAACACATATAACAAAAGATTACAATTAGTGTCCAGTTACCACGCCAAATGTACAAAACATTCTGCATCTTTTAGTCAGTTCAATGTAAATATTATTTATAACAATCTCCTAGGCGTGAAAAAATACTTTAATATATTAATATGATCTTGAATCATTGTTAAAACCATCTTGTGGTGGCATACTATGGTTAACCTAAGAATGAAGTAATGCGACTGTACAATTGTGTCTACATTTTCACTTTGTCTAGGAACCTTCATTGATATCTTTCGATGCAAATTTTGGACTGGTCCATAAGAAATCATCAGGAGATGGTCATGGTAAGACCGCGGCAAGACATAATGACTTCCTCTTTGTGGATCCTTCCAAGTTTAAGAACTTCATCGAGGATTACAATGTGGATAAAGGTTCCTATGTTAATGTAAGTAACATTTTTTCAGAACAGTTATTATGTAAAGCACAGGAAAACTTGAGCACAGGAAACCAACATTTCAAAAAATCTGAAAAAAAAATATACATTTATGCTAGTCAGCTTTGCATTTTACATTATTACAGTTAGTAAAGGGTTAGTTATAAAACCCGGAACGAAACGAAATGGTCGAAATCATCGAAATGGGCAATATGTATCTTTTTAGCAGTCCTCTAGTATAAACTTGGCTGCCGACATGTGTCAAACACGAAGGGGTTCCCTGTGGCAAACATATTCGTGTCTTGGTTATATTTAAAAAAGATTGCGAACGGCATGAGCCGTGAGCGGAGGATCGGTGTGACATGGCCAACCGTTAGTAAAGTCTATGAGGTTAATTTTGCGAAGAAATGGTATTTTTAAACATTTGACTGCAAAAGAATATCCAAGATGTATAGAGATCATTTATTGTTTTTATTCAATCTTTTATTTTTTTATTCAGGATTGCTCCAATTTCCAAGCTGGAAGCCTCGTAAGATCCAAGTCAAAAAACGCCAAATTGGATGTGAAGGGGCTATTTGGCTCCATATGTAAACACGATATACCTTATTTATTCATTGATATGGAGTATGGTGAAAGGTAAGTTATGAAAGTACAATTTACTAACACAGTGGCCATATCTGGCTTTTTAATGACACTCGTAAGATTTTTATAGATTGATTGAACTGCTCAAATTTCCACCCATTTGTTTTTCATCGTTTTGTTTGCATTTAATGTTTCTTTCTTAGTTAGTTACGATAAACTATCTAACAATCTCTGTTGCTTTGGAAGAATTAAGGCTTGTGTCTTTTGGAATGTAATTTTGATATATAATTACACTCAAAGATATTATTATTATTGCAGACTTGGGTATGCTGTTTTTATAATGGATAAACTCTTGGAAGAAAATGAAAGCAAAACAGTTCTCATGTATGACATTGCTTGCATGTTACATAAACATCTCATGGTGAGTACCCAGGACATGTAGATTATAGTTATAGAAGCTAATTTGGGGTATGATTATGTTGGCCCTTGGACAAATGGAGGGTGGGGACTATACACAATACTCCAATACATTTAGTAAAATAGAAGAGGATAACTTTCAATGATGCTGCATGGTATAGTTTCTTTTTACAGAGATAGAAGATGTGGGCTAATCGCTAAGTTTCTATCTTAAAAAAGTAGGTTAAGGAACTTTCCTGCAAAAGTGGGTTGAGGGGCATGTTCCCCTGTCTTCAACATTGCTTGAATATCTTTTTACATATAAATGAATATTTGTTGCAGAAAAATAAAAGAAATGACCTCCTCGATAAATTTTCATTCGCTGTTCCTGTGTTCCACAGATTTGCACATAACATGCAATGCCAAGTAAGTTACAACTACAGTCAAACCTCATTGTGTCGATCTCTGTTAATTCGAAAACCTGGTATGAATCGAACACAGTTGAGAGTCCCATCACGATCCTTCTTTATTTCAACTAAAAATCTACTTTTGTCTCGAAATTCTTAATTCGAGTACCGGTCCTGTCTCGATGTCATTGTTCACCCCCAAGCTAATAGAATTTACATTTTATGTGTCGCTGTCCTCACCTCGCAGTTAGATCTAAGACTGTAATAATTATTGAAGCAATACACTCCTGTTAGAAATACGGTACTCCTACTCCAATTAATCAATTATAATCCCAAAACAATACGAAACCAACAAGGCGTGAATAATACAACGAGAATAAACATGGTGGCTAGAGCATGTAATCAGATGGGGAAGTTCACAGGGTAACATTGAACTCTATTGTGTTATCTAGCCAATTGTGATCGTACCAAGATGGGGGTCGATTTGATGTACGGGATAATTTGAGGTTTATATCTCGTCCTGCAAACTTCGACACAATGAGGTTTGACTATATATACAGATAGCATTTGTTGGTTTTATTGGGTGTTTATGTATGGTTTATTAAAAGACACCCGCCACCATTTTCAAGGTCTTCTTTTGATTAATTCTGATGAACTTTCAGAAATTGGAATTGTTTAGCTTAGTTAGTTGGTATCAGGACACACAGCTTACCATCAAAATTTGGGCCTGCTTATTCAAGTGAATCCTTAGTTATCCTCAAATATAAGTTCGAATATCAAGTCACTATTTACCAAGTATTTGCCATGTTTAGTCTTAATGATCAAATCTTATTCTTCGTATCCTTACTATATGAACATAATATAACTATATAACTATATGAACTAAATGTGTTTTTAATTCTACTTAGTTTGGTATTTTTTTAGTTAAAATATGGACAGAAATTTATGGATGATTGTGGGCTCACTGATGGTGAAGGCATAGAACGCCTCTGGAGTTACCTACGCAGGTTCAAGTCAATAACAAAAGAGATGTCATACGACAACCGTGTTGACTTGTTAACAGAGGCGTTAATCTATAATTCCGAAAAAATTATTTCAAACATGGGTAGGTGTTAAAGAGAATAGTATAATAGTATAAAATCTAAATATATAATTCATTTTTTCCGTCATATAGACAAATTGTGTAATATGTTCAATATCTTCAAACATAGATGAAAATGCTGGAATAAATCATAATTTCCAATCATTTGGAATAGACAGAAAAAATGACGAATTTCATAGTTTTATTCTATGCTAGTATAAATATTAGCAATGATAATCGAAATAGAGAACAAATATTTGTCAACAAGAAACCAATGTATAACATGATTACCCATAAATTACTGCTTTTTTGACATAATAATTAATGATCAGTACATATTTCAATAAATGAAATTAATCTCCTCGTGAAGTCTTTGAATTGAGCACCTCGATTTTACTACACTACACCTAAATTAGTCAACTGATCGTCGGCTCTGGAATTTCTGGTATCTCTGAGAGGAAAACAGTGTAAAGAAGCTCTGAATCTGGAGATTATTGAGACGCTAAAATGTAACATTACTTCATTGTAGTTCTTATAGTTATTGTAATTATTTGTATATTTCAGGTCCAAGATTGCATTCCAAATTATGTAAAGCAGAAAAGATTATTAAAGATTCTCCTTTTAAAAATCAAGGTAATGATTTACCCTCTTATACGCATACATTTGAGAAATATTGTAGAATATTCCAATTTAAATACATTCATACATAACCGTAACCTCTGCTGATCTGAAAATGTTTGAAACTCATGTTTTTTTATTGAATTAATAAGGGTTGTTATTGTTAATGCCAATTAACCTACATGTATGATCTAAATTCTGTTACAACACCCCCTTACTGCAAGAGCTCACTTGTAAGAGGCATCCGTAGTACAAAACTTACTACTCCGATGTATGTAATATGCTGTTTATTACAGTCTTTGGATTATTGCCATTCTGACGATAGGCCTTAGAACAAATATGTGTTGATAATGACTCAACTTTGGACTAACGAATGTTCGGACTTAAGATTTTTCGAAAAAGCGCACCTCCGAACAAAAGAACCTTTAGCTTAGTAATCAAAAGAGCCGTTAGATTTTAGGATGAAGTGGCTCTCGAAATGTTGATTGGTGAACTATAGGGCATAAGGCACATAGAATTATCGATCTGACCCTGTTCATTCCTATAACAACTTTGAGAGCTCAATGAAAACAACATAATTTTAACCTTTTTAGAAGAACTATCTCAAGCTGGAACATGGTTGCAGAATTGGAAAAAAGATACAGAATCGAAAAATACTAAAGGTGAGTTTCACTGAATTCATATTCAATGTTATTGTTTTTCTGGATTCCTTGTAATTGGCAAATTTATGTTGTTGCATAAACTAAGTCAATGCATAAATATTGACTTGAGAAGCAGACTTCAGGTATGAAGAAGTGCATTATCAGCAAAGTCATAAGTTGAAATAGTCATATTGGAACTATAATTCAACATTGAAAATATGGGAGAAATATCCTAGGAATGTTTAATGTCTAGATTGCAAAACGTCACGATTTCGGGTCACCAAAGGTCAAGATACCCAAAGTTCGAAACAAATGTCCAAAGGACACATAAGGTAATTTTAGGAGTCAATAAAGAAGGCTTGAGGGGGCTATTATTTTATTTTTCCCTAGGAAACATTCTTGGAATCGCCGATCATGGAACCTGATTATGCCTACTCAGTAGGTCTAGTTGTTGTTATTATTATAAATATATACAATAGTAGGAACACTTGTACTAAAAGCCTTAAGTTCAATTTCATGTTATTTTTATTTTTTTTTGCATACTAGTATAGTTTAATTTGTGGTTCAGTTCAACAAATTACTTTGTTTTAGGAAACGAATTAAATTCTACAGAAAAGTTTGTTGAATGTGTTCACAAAATAAAGACTATAAGGTAAAAACTGTTTTTAAAATGTTTTTATTTTTTAATGAAATTATTTTCTGTTTCATTCGTAGCAATATACAATTCTGTCTATGTTAGCTGAAGTTATTGGACTTTAGATTACAGCATAATTCTTTTTTCTTGTGTTTTCAGCACAAGTGTTGGAGTAATGCATTATGATGCCAACAAAGAAGCTTTAATAACAAGGTAGGCACAGTTTTGTTTTTGTTTTTTTCTTATATTCTTTGTCTCCATTGTAATCTAACAATTTAACTACAAAAGCTGTGTTCTCGTGGTACTAACGTGTTATTTATAGCAGCCAATCATGTGCCATCTTCCCACCAAACTGAAGCAATTTTGTAAGCAGGGTTTGACAACTGTATCAAAATATATTTTGCTCTACGTTTGATTTCACTATCCCACAATCGTCATTGTTAGCTGGAAAGTGACCTACATTCCTCACTCAACTGTTCTTGCATAATTTTTGTTTTGAAAGTTTTAAAAAGCTCAGGAATTCCCTGAAAATGATAAAGTCTTCGAAAATCTCATTTTTTCAAGATTGTGATTTTCTGGGGAAAAGAGCTCATCAACAATAAAATCCAATAAAAAAAAGGGAGACCTGGGGATCCTTTGGATTTCTTGACGCTTTTAGTTAATTTTCCAATAAAATAAGTACTTCAGGACCTTATTTCTATCACTATATTTAATTACTCTAAATAGGCAAATGTTTAATATTATTAATTTTTATTTCAGTTTGAGAACTGAAATGTCAAAGTTGAAAAATGTTGATAAGCACATCAAAGAGCAAGGAGAGGATCTGAGTTTTGAAACTGAAGCTATTAAGCAAAAATTACTAAATGCCCAAAATAAAAGACAATGTGAAATATTACTCAAGCTTAGGAATTTAGCTATTGAAAGAGAATATATTGGCAGCATGATGAAAAAATATGCAGGTAAATGTATTTGTGAACCTCAGTATTTTGAAGCATAGGACACTCTTATAAAATGTTAATTGAAATCCTGACGCATAATAAATATATCAGAAATTTACTGTTAATATAGCCAAAAATCAATTCCACAGTCAAAGGACAAGACAAATTTGGTAAATCTGTGTGTGTGTGACTTTCAAATAAGGCGAAGTAGGATCAGGTATATCAGAAGAGGTTAAGCATCCCCTGCCTTGCACACGACACCACACACTAACTTCAGGGCTTTAGATTACATTCTAGTTTCGACGTTAAACGTCATGTTCAAAATTTTATTTTTTTTAAATTCTAAATTGTTCTCAAATTTTGAAGAAAACAGTGGGAATTTGAAGTTTTGCCCCAAAATGAAGCAGACATTGTTATTTCTACACTATATTACCCAGTTTCATGAACCTATAGCCATTTTTATTGAGGGTAATGAGCATTTAGTTTTGATGCCTCACTTCGAATACAGGGTGTGCCCAAATTATGGTAATCTAAAGCCCTGAACTTACAGGATAGAATAGATCTGTTACAACAATTTGAACACCTCTACCAAGATGTCAATGAGATTTGTGATAACTATCAACAAGATCATGATGACGATCATACAACTTCCTAACTGTAGTTTTCAGTTTGTGAACAAAACATATCTCTGATTCAAAATTTGTATACAAAAGTTCTTCATAGTGTGATCATGCTCTTGAGTAGCGGGTAAGCTAGAAGGTGACTTTGTTACACTGAATGGAAAGTTCAGAAAGAAAAAGTCAAAATCATCACATTTGTCATATAGGCGTACACATAGGTCACAGGTATTCTCTACTTCAAGTTGCTAATCCAAATATGATAACTTACTGACTATTTATATGTTAATCAATTATCTACATTATTAACTATATATTTTTCAGATGGACAAACACTTGCGTTACGTATTGGTAAGCAATTTTCATCGAACACTTCAAAAATGAAAAATCTTTTAGACATTCTTAATAAGAACCACAATGTTGGTACAGACACAGATTTCAGCATGGTGTCTTCTCCAACTTCGGAAATATACAAGAAATTACATGAAAACCCATTGGATGAAAAGAAACAGCAAGCTGCTCTATCATATTCTTCGTTCAAACATGCTGAAGAGGAAAGTGAGCTGATTAAAGCTGAACTTCAGGCATTTTATACTTATCTCAATGAACAATTGAAGCAAATTGATCAAAGCTCTCAAGTTTCAAAAGATTTATCCAATATGTCAAGATATCACAAAGGGATGCTCCAATATTTGGTCCGGATTCGAATCAAAATAAACAAAATATTAAAAAAATCAAAGCCAAGTTTTGACTATCTTGGCATAACTGAAGGAATTTCTGAAAATGTAACTCCTGAAGAGGAAATAATCCAGGATATCCAGGAAGATTATTTCGAAGATGACATTTCTAGCGAGGATGAGGATGAAATAAATGTTGATGATGAAATATAATTGTGAATATAATGTGTAGTGTATATAGTGTACATTATATTGACTTTCTATATAGTGTATAGTGATATTTTATATAATGTAGAGTGTACAGTGATAGTGTATAGCGATATTTGACAGTGTATAGTGTACAGTGACAGTGTATATAGTGATATTTTATATATTGTACAGAAACTTTGTATATAGTAGACTTAATGTAAACTACAGAAACCTTTAATGCAGCCTTGTAATATAATTTTGAATATAATGTGTAGTGTATAGCGTACAGTATATTGACTCTCTATATAGTGTATTGTGATATTTTATATAATGTAGAGTGTACAGTGATACTGTATATAGTGATATTTTATATAGTGTACAGTCATAGTGCATAATGGTTTTTTATAGTGTATAGTGACAGTGTATATAGTGTATAGCGATATTTGACAGTGTATAGTGTACAGTGACAGTGTATACAGTACAAAAACTTTGTATATAGTGGACTTCTTAATGAAAACTGTAGAAAAACCTTTAATGCAGCCTTGTATATATACAAGAAGGTCCCAAGCCCTTTCAAATGCAGAGGGAAGGGTTTTTTTCACTTATAAAATGAACTAAAAAGACAAGTTTTCCAACTAAAAACAGGATGAAACTGGTGATCTTCCATTTATGGAGGTGGTGAGTTCAATTCTCACATTTGTCTATATGTTGGAAACTTGGAAAACAGGTAATTTCCCAATTCAGATCCCCTACATTTCATTTTGGTACATTTTGAACATTCCCTGACACTCTCCACCAAATCATGACATAAATCGTGGAAAAAGGAAGTGGATGAGGAAACAGAATCGGGGCAGGAGCCAGTTTCAACTGTGGTGGTAATAGGCACTGGGAGACGTGGAGGGGCATCCATGGATTTAATAATTCAATGCAATTACCGTTTATTAATTTGGTGGTCAGCGCAAGTTGGAGGGCGTCTTGAAAATGGGGTCACCCCCAATAATATGACCTTGGTAATGTAATGTGTAGTAATACATACATGTAATTAATAATTTATATCACAGCATCGTCACTTTATGATGAACATATTGTACTTAGTCACTTTACATAATGTAATGTATATTGATACTTGATGTATATTGATGACATGAAATAAAGAAAACTTAAATCTCCTGACTTGATGCCTTTGTCTCTGATTTTAGAAGGTTTGAGAGCTTAGACCTAAATGAAAATGAAATCATAAAGAAAGCTTATATAAAGTATGAAAATATGAAAAAGTAGTATTTATTGTCTTTCTTAAAACATTATTTCAATGCAACTTCATCAACTGTATATACCATGAGAGATAGTTATTATAAATGTTAAAAACATTTATTATATGGCTGGTGATTTCCTCGTTTCTGATTGGCTCAAACTGCCCTGAGAAGTTTCGATTAATCACGGTATTAACCTCCCAAGTTCTATAAATAGCACAAGCAAGATGTGATATGGCCAAAGAACTATGGGGAGAACCCAACTGTGACGTCATATATCCAAGAATTTTCCCATAATGAATTTAGAGGTTAATATCATGATAACGCGAAAACAGAACAGTCTCTAGCATATTAACAAATAGCAAAACAAATGACATGAAACTATGTTTGTAAATCACAGAAATAATATCATATAATAAAACAATTTAAACTTTGAATAAAATTTAAACTTTGAATAAAATTTAAAACTTGAATAAAATTTGAATTAAATTAAAAATTTGAATAAATTTAAAATTTGAATAAAATTTAAAATTTGAATAAAATTTAAAATTTGAAGTAAATTTAAAATTTGAAGGAAATTTAAAATTTGAAGGAAATTTAAAATTTTAATAATTAATTCATAGAAATGCCTCTTTTTAATACCATATTATAAAACAATAATTTATAGAGGCATCCTCAAAGTAAGGTGATCGTCACCGGGGAGTCTGGATGGGGGCTGGACCAAGTTAGTCGGTCCTTTTCAGAGGCTGGTGACTGGTGAGGCTGCAACCTCCATTCGGCACGCCGATTTTTCTTTAAATTACACAAAGTACCATAAAATTGAGGGTGGGTGTCGTGGAGAGGGTATCTTAGCGGCTCAGACTGGCACATATTTGGCACTTCCCTGTAATTGCGCCCTTTCAGCTCATAATCCGCCTCTGATCCTTTTTGCGAACAGAAAAATGAAGAAAGAACTGGACTGGTATGTCCAATTCCGCATAAAAATTTCAAAGATAGGTAGTGGAGCACGAAGAGTCGGTAATATACGCACAAAAATATTGTTAGTGATGTACAGAAAATTTGGCACCCCTCCCCCTAATAGGAGCATCGTGACGGCATTGTCTTAAGTAATTTCAATATTTTATTATTTCCTTTTGAAATGTGCCTTGTTCATCATACGTGCCAACCTTTTAATTCCACTTAAAATATTAACGTATGGCGACAACGTTAGTAAAATGAATAAAATCACTGGAGGGAGGGAGCCATGCATATGTGAATGGCCTGTTGATAATATTCAGTTATTGTTCAAACAAACAATTACTGAAATAACATAGTCGCAAAATAAGCCATTGTAATTAAACATAGGATAATTACAGGTCTCCGAAAACATGTATACTCAGATCAGGTATGGGAAACACTATCTAAACGTAGAGTAAAAAACAAACTAAAAACGTTTTATACAATATTTAATATATGTGTGATATTTTGAATTACATGCACGAAACTAAAACTATAACCTACGATACCAACATTTACTAATAGCCTTAGGTAACACGCCACTGTATACCCATATTGTCCCAAATACAATTAAGTTATGAGATAATCTACCCCTAAATGTTGGGTAAGGGTTAGATTAGAATGTAGAATTAACCCTAACTATGGGTGTCCCTCCACCCATACCCTTACCTCACTCGTCTCGTCTAAACGTAGGGTAAAACACAAACTGATCTAGTTTTGTAAATTATTTGATTATTCAAGTCCTCAATATCTGTGTACTATTTTAAATCGCATGCACGAAAACTCAAACTATAACCTATACGACACAAACATTTACATATACACTTGGGTAAAACGTCTTTGTATCTCAATTACCCAAATACAATGAAGTTATGAAATATTGTACCTCTAAATGTTGAGTTAGGGTTAGAATGTAGAATGAACCCTAACCGTAACTGTTTTTTCTATCGGGAGCGTAAGCCCATGATGATTTTCTTCTTCTTTCAGGTAACCGGTTATCTTCGTTCTCTTCAAACCCTAGGCCAGTGCCTTGAGGAGACTTTCCTCCCTACCCTTTTACCTAACTTTGTTTCACTTCAAACCCTCTCTTGATGAGTTTTTTTTCCAACATTATAGAATTAACCCAAACTGTGGCTTCACGACACCAACATTTACATATACTCTTAGGTAAAACGTCACCGTATCTCAAAAGTTTTGTCCCGAATACAATATAGGGTTAGGGTTAGAAAGTAGAATTGACCCCGTCACTTCCCAGGTACCCAAACCACCGGATTATTTCCATTACGGAAATCGAATTTAAAACATAATACATTGTCAGCTTGACCTTCCAATTTTCAGGAAAACTCTCATTCCCGCTGGTGATACCTGTATACTTATTGATAAACTGTTACTGTTATTCGATTTTGTGCCGTAGGTTTGAACACAGGAATTCAGACAATCGGTGACTACTGAACTGAAGATCTAAGGACCTACCCATTATTTCGCATTTGGTGATAGTTAGTTAGAAATATAGAAATAGCAGCTATTCCGGTGCGATAAAGGTGACATTAAAAACGAATTTTTGGGACATCAAAAACACTACACCTTCAGAAATATCAGCTACTTCAGTAAAATCGCTCATAAATTTGTAGCTAAACCATTCATAACATCAGGGTGTACAATATGCGTAATTGTGTAGGCCTACAAGGACTTCTCGGACGTATGTCTGAATCGGATAAAGAATTTTCTCTCCATTTGAACAAATTTGTTCATTCGATTGACGATCTCAACTTAATACCAATTGAGCATATTATTATAGGCCTACATACCAATGATGGAAATGGATTGATTAGGTTACTTTTGGATTGGAATCCAACACAGTTAGGTCAGTCGGAGTCTCTTTTCTAGTTAAATGGGGTAGTATTTACTTGAACATCTTTGAACAAGTTTCTCCAGGGACGCCTGCACAAAAAAAGGGCAGAGGGGGCAACTCTGGTTGAAGGGGCACAGCGGAGTGAGATAAACGAGGGAGCGAAGCCACATAGCACTAGCAGCTGGGGGTTGGGGGGCGCTGTAAGCCCCCCTAGAAAATTTTGCATTTTGAAGGGCCTCTCGTGAGGTATATATGAGGTGTAGTTTTGAAAACATTTAGGGGTATTATATCACGAATCATTGGTTGTCCCCGACTCATGAGATTCCATAAGTTTATATTGAATAAAAGTCCTGCCTACCCTTATGTTGTGGACAATTAGGCTCACATCCCACATATCTATGAAGTCATAATCATGCCAATTGCCTTTTTTTGTCAGGATGGGGGCAACGTTTGCCCCCTAGACAAAGGGCAGGGGGAGGGGGAGGGGCAAAGCGTCCTTGAGTTTCTCTGATAAGCGAGTTTCAGTGGTACTCCTCAAACACTAGGTTTTTCATACGTGACAAGTCCTACTTCGTATGAGAGGGTTCATAAAAAAACGTCCGTGGTGACACATGCATAGGTGGTCAGCGAAAACCAGACGCGTCCGGACGTCCTTTATGGACGTTTTTGATTGAAAAAAGATGCAAATGGGTAATATAATACAAAATATTCCTAGTCCAAAATGGACTCTGATTGTCTATGGTAATCCAGGAATGCTGCTTTTCACAACCCGAGACTGATTATGAGTTGAAGGGTTCAGAAACTGAGACGAAGTAAGTGGGGAAATATGTCAATTTGTATTTATGAATCGAGTTGTGGCTGCAGCCCCTGTTCTAATTCGCGTCTGATCAAACCATTATCTAATTATCTTTCAACTAGATAATGTATAGTTGAAGGGTTTCAGTCCCAGTGTACCCCACAACGTATGAACAGTTCCAGTGTACTTTCTTTGCATAACACATTTGTAAGCATTTTCCATATCCTGAACAGTGGATCGTCTGTAAACTCAGGATTGATGTTAGGAATAACCAGTATTCCTAGTTAACAAACACGGAGGAACGAAGTAGTAGGGCACTACAGGCCTCTAAATAAGACAAGCTGGGGTGATCATTACCAATTAAATGATTCCCTGAATTTCTGTTCAGGTGATCAAAATTTGCGGAGTTATTTCAAGCTTAAAGTTTTCTTGCATGTGTGAATCAGAAAAAGCTGACAACCTTAGGCCACTGTTGTTGCTCATGATCATATTTTCTGAAACAATCATGTTAAAATGCTCCTTCTGTTGAAGCCGCCGACAGACTTTACAATTGTGTTTCATTACTTTTTTTTCGATCACCTGGCCTCAGTGGGGTGATCGAAAAAATCATTCTTCTGAAATCTCCTTCAGGTGATCGACAGGCGATCAATCAGTTTGATCGCCCCATATTTCGTGGCCTGCACTATAGACATGGATACATCCAATACTCAATAACAGCTTCAATATTTAGAGAATCATTGTTTGGGTATTGGCTTACTCTTACAGCCAAAAAAGTCACACAATTGTATTATTGATAAAACATAAAAACATATATATATTTTTTTATACTTATTTTCTCAGCATTATATACAAAATTTACAAACAAATATATAGAATTCAAAGCACAGTCGCCTTAGAGGCGGTGTCAAAATATTCAGCATTTTACAAAACAGAGCTTGCTTCGTTTCACCCTGGACCCCCTTCTTGAAACGAAGCAATAAATTTGAATAAATGCTGATCGACTACATCAACTCATGTGACTGAAAATCAGCATTTGTTCCAAACGAAGCAGGCATGATCGCATTGACCCCCTCTGAACGAAGCAAGATTTGTTTCATAAAATGTTGAATATTTCGACACGGCCCCTTATCTAGAATTCACTAACTTTTGAACGTCCATGATTTAAGGTGTTTTTATACAACCTTACAAATGAATCCATTAGTCACTTATATTGTAACGTAAGAGTTATATTGACTTCTAAAGAGGTTGATATCAAAGTTAGTCAACCTGGGAAGTTTCGTAGATCACACAGGCTGAGTGGATTAACTCTGGTATAAACTGTTCATGTCTAAAATTGATATATTATATGAATGTAATTTGCAAACAAAGAAAATTTCAACTGGTTATAAAATAATATTGATTCTATCATTCAGGCTTTGCTAACAATAAATTGAACTTATTGATATAATAACATAAAAACATATATATATTTTGTTATACTTATTTTCTCAGCATTATATACAAAATTTACAAACAAATACATAAAACTAACCACACTAAAACTGGTATTTTATGTGAAACCTTACTTCTGTTAACTTTTGAAATGGATACAAATAATAATTTATACAATATAATGTATAATGTCTATCTATTTATGAACCTATAGCAGAAATTTCCATTCATCCAAAACGTTAAGCAAATTATAGCAAAAAGTCAGATGCAGCAAAGATGTAAAGTTTTTACACATTATAAAACATGTCCCTATTATGTTGTCCATGACGTCTTTCGATGGGAAGGGTGAGTTATTATGACCTTGTGAAAACCTAATCCATGGAATACTTCTCTCTTATTTTAACTGAGTAACAAATCCAAAGCACAGTCGCCTTAGGGGCGGTGTCAAAATATTCAGCATTTTACAAAACAGAGCTTGCTTCGTTTCACCCTGGACCCCCTTCTTGAAACGAAGCAATAAATTTGAATAAATGCTGATCGACTACATCAACTCATGTGACTGAAAATCAGCATTTGTTCCAAACGAAGCAGTCATGATCGCATTGACCCCCTCTGAACGAAGCAAGATTTGTTTCATAAAATGTTGAATATTTCAACACAGCCACATATCCAGAATTCACTCACTTTTGCACGTCCATGATATAAGGTGTTTTTATACAACCTTACAAATGAATCCATTAGTCACTTATATTGTAACGTAAGAGTTATATTGACTTCTAAAGAGGTTGATATCAAAGTTAGTCAACCTGGGAAGTTTCGTAGATCACACAGGCTGAGTGGATTAACTCTGGTATAAACTGTTCATGTCTAAAATTGATATATTATATGAATGTAATTTTCAAACATAAAGAAAATTTAAACTGCTTATAAAACAATATTGATTCCATAATTCAGACTTTGCTAACAATAAGTTGAACTTATTAATAAAACATAAAAACATATATATATATTTTTTTATACTGATTTTCTCAGCATTTTATACAAAATTTACAAACAAATATATATAATTAACCACAAAACTGGTATTTCATGTGAAACCTTACTTGTGTTAACTTTTGAAATGGATACAAATAATAATTTATACAATATAATGTATAATGTCGTAGATCACACAGGCTGAGTGGATTAACTCTGGTGTAAACTGTTCATATGTCTAAAATTGATATATTGTTCTGCATATTTAGTCACTTATTTACTTGTTTTGTTTTTTTTAATTTTCAATGATTTTTTTAAGGTTTCATTCAAATGTTCCTCATCTTCCCAAGAATCGGCAGAAGATGGATAACCCTTCCAGTGTAGGAGGTACTGAACCTTTCGATTTTTTTTTCTTTTTTTAACTATACACTCTACTTCATATTCTGAAAATAGAATCAAATGTTTAGTACAAGTCTGCAGCTAATAATACAGTTACTGTTAATAATATTGCTATTGCAACTTTCGTTATGCCAAAAACAGTGCATTGTTTAAGTCACATAACAGGAAATGAAATGGGTTTAACGTCCTACTTTTATGCACTTTTTGTTTCGGCTAGTGAAGAAGCTAGTGAAATGAGGGAAATGTTGCAACTGTCTGGGTTCTTTAGCATGCGCCCTGATGCAGCACCGATGACATGACTAGGTGATATGCGCCACTGACAAAGGGAAGCCAGATTGGGAAACCCGCTGATCTTTCCCTGTCTGGGGATCAAACCCACAACCTCCTGGATAGCGAGCAAGCACCATACTCACCGGTTTGAATTGGGGTTTCTTCAAAATATACATTTTAAAAATGGGTATACAATGATTTACATCAATCAGTAGGAGTAATTCACTATTCTTATTAAACATAATTTTTTTATGCATCACACCTATACAAAAGGTCTCTGAATATAAACTCAAAAGAACATATTAGATATCTATTTTTTCATTATTGCACTAATGTGCCTGTCATCATGCTGATGTTTGTCTGCTAAAAAGCTGAAGTGGATCATAATAACTGGACTTGAAATAAACTACACTTTAGTTTGAATGAAGTCCAAAAGAGTAATTAATAATAAATGAACTTGCCTATATTACTCTGATCTGCAGTAAGCATCTGTGTGGTTATGTGTGGTGCTGTTGTTAATGGATGTGTTGTTATGTGTGGTGCTATTGTTAATGGATGTGTTGTTATGGGTCGTGCTATTGTTAATGGATGTGTTGTTATGTGTGGTGCTGTTGTTAATGGATGTGTTGTTATGTGTGGTGCTGTTGTTAATGGATGTGTTGTTATGTGTGGTTCTATTGTTAATGGATGTGTTGTTATGTGTGGTTCTATTGTTAATGGATGTGTTGTTATGTGTGGTGCTGTTGTTAATGGATGTGTTGTTATGTGTGGTGCTGTTGTTAATGGATGTTTTGTTATGTGTGGTGCTGTTGTTAATGGATGTGTTGTTATGTGTGGTGCTGTTGTTAATGGATGTGTTGTTATGTGTGGTGCTGTTGTTAATGGATGTGTTGTTATGTGTGGTGCTGTTGTTAATGGATGTGTTGTTATGTGTGGTGCTGTTGTTAATGGATGTGTTGTTATGTGTGGTGCTGTTGTTAATGGATGTGTTGTTATGTGTGGTGCTGTTGTTAATGGATGTGTTGTTATGTGTGGTGCTGTTGTTAATGGATGTGTTGTTAGGTATGGTGCTGTTGTTAGGTTTGGTGCTGTTGTTATGTGTGGTGCTGTTGTTAGGGGTGGTGCTGTTGTTCGTGATGGTTCAGTTTCCTTCACAGATCTGTATACAAAAAATAGGTTATTCGGTTAGATTAATAATGAATAAATTAATAAATTTAAGATGGTTGCTTGAATCCGTCAGTGAATTTAGCACCTGCTTATTTTTTAAGGAAAAAAATCCAACTTATTCTTCTTTACTTCATTTGATCTCCAATTGACTGCACTAAAACCATCTATTGCTATCTATACGGTTTTTTGTGCCATCCGAACGACTAAGGTGGTATTCTTTGCCAGCCCCTCTGTTCTGCGCCACCGACAAGGAGAAGCCAGATTGGAACATCCGGATGATCTTTCCTTGACCGAGGATCAAACTCACGACCTCCTGGTTAGCGAGCAAGCCACCGCGGCTCCTGGATAGATGATATGGGATCTAAAAACACGAAGATAGCTTCTCTTTAAATTCAAAGACTTACATTTCTTGAACAGATAAAATTAAATTTAATTTCTTCCTGCCATATCTAGATGGTACTTGAATCGGCTTTACTTCCTGTGGGAAACCATCTACAACTATTTCTCCCCGTTTGACTCTCTCATATGGAAATCTTTGATAAGATGTTGTAGCTTTTCCTGAATGATAAAAATTAAAACTTATATCATACCCAGTGATCTGTACTGTTTGAGAAAATAATTGCCAAACTCGGTTTCGTCGCTATCCTAGAAATAACGTTATTAGTATGGTCAATGAGCGAGTAGTTATGTTGCTGGCTGTCAATGTAACAATATCATCTGTCGACCATCACTCCCCTAGTGTGTGATGGCGTGTGTTGGGGTGGGATGGGGAACTCCCACAATGAATTCACATGCATCAAATATAGCCTTCAAAATAGATCCTATGCAACAAGGTCTATACAGGTGCGAAATGTGTGGGGTGACTTGACTCCGATTATCCGTATCATTAATGACGGAAAAAAACGAATAGTTGCGATTGGTCATTTGCAACATAATGTGTTTTTTTAGTGGAGCGGATCGATCGTGTTGTCATTTGACTTACTCTGAGGTTTAGTTCAGTCTTTTCTCACAGATCTCACTATATCTTGGAAATTGAAAACATTTGAATTGCAACAACTACTAAGAACAACTTACCATATAGAGCATTCATATGATCTTGTACCTGTTTTCTAAGCTGTTTTGTACATGATTCTGTAATAAATAGAACAATACGAAAGTCATTAATATAAATTATAGAAAATCTTCGTTACAAATTCACCTTGAGAACATTAAATAAAACGATTGGACCGCTCAATACATAGAATTTCAAAACGAGTGAAATACACAGAACTCTGGATATAAGTATTGATGAGGTCCAAATTCTAATTTGTTAACAAAGGGCAATATCGAGATTTGATGGACATAATGCCACATATAAGATTTGAACGACATTTAGAAGCAATAAGCACATTGTGTTTGTTATAATGTCACATACTAAATTTAATATGAATACATAAAAATAAAATCAATCATTTTCAATCATTATGCAAAACCCAAAGTATAACACTGTGCGAGTCTGGTGGTGGTTGGTATAGAAGAGCCTTGAAGTTACCACCTACGCTAACTAGGGGTGCTTTGATTGTTGTGAGGTGCACCCTCTTCATTAGCCCATAAGATATTTAAATGTTGGTTGTTAAGCCCCATTTTATTATTTTGTGCATAAAATTAGCAATATCTGAAAATATTGATGAGCAGTTTCGCATGTTTGTGCTATGAACTCTACTATGCTATATTTTCCTAACCTTAATTACATAAGATCCATTACTAGGCCTCTTGTCTAAAATAAGCTTACCTTCAGCATCCTTTCCCGGTTTTAAAAGTAGCGAGTTGACAAATTCATCCTCTCTATTTTCCAAATATTTCAGAAATTTGCTGCTGTTAGAGCCAGCAAAAATGATGTTTCCTTCCCTTTCTCCAACAGCAGCAATGTCAACATCACAATCGCTTAGTTTAATTAACTAAAATGACAAGATACAAGAAAGACATACAAAATATAGGTCAATCCGAAGTTGAAAAACAAGATATATTTTCTCTTCTGAATTTATATCCGAAGTTATATATATTTATGTTGAAAGTTTGTGTGGTATATTGAGGCAGGAACATACCAGAATTATGGTTTTTGGACATTTCTATGACCCCTAGGCCATACAAAATTAATGAGGTGTTTCTCGAGCACCTTTTTTTTATTGAAAGCGTGCAGACGGGTGGAATTTAATTTTTATTATTATTTTCTATTTTTGACAGCATGTGGGTTGATTTTTAAAAAAAACTGAATTGATAAAGTACAGTTTTAATGTGTGTGAGTTAGGTAGTTTAACATCCGCTGCCAACTTAATGATATCACATGATAATAACATATTACGTGTTATATATCACTTGAGATAACTGGAGTCAATTTCAAACTGTGTATTGTTTTTGAGCTTCCATCGTAACAAAAACCTCTATTTTGTCTCAACTAAGAACCTCATCTTCGATACATTCCAACTTTATATCTTAAATATCTACCAAATATGTTTGCACACTCATCAACTAGAGCTTCCATCATAATACTACCAAAACTTCACGTTTACTTTTTCTTACGGCTTCGAATGTTGGGCTTGGGCCTTGCCTTGCTCAATCCTCATCTTTGCCAATCGAATTTTGTTGAACATGCGTGTCAGTGTACTACCTTTGTCAACTCACTCGAATCATGAAGGCAATTTGCTTTATATTCAACAACACTTGTTGATTCTAACATACAAATTAATTTAATGTAAAAACATGTGGTAAACAAATGAGTACTCAATTATCCAGCGTAATCGCTGAAGTAGTCACTCAGTAAACTCCTCTTTGCCCGGGCATGACTCGCTTGACCTCTATAACTCTATCGGTTCTAGCTTCATATAATTTGCCCAAGATGATCTCAACTATAGTTGGATGAGACAGAATTAGTAGTGTAATAAGATAGTAAGCCATTCACTGGTTTTATAAACATAACTGTTAACATCTATACTTACAATTCCCTGTAACTGTTTCAATAAAGCTGTTGATGTGTTTTTTTTTGAATTTGGGGATTGGTCTTTGAGAGGAACTGGAGAGTATCTATATTCTAATTTTTCCTGACTAGACAGTTCTGCCCAGTTCCTACTCCAAAGCTTGAAATCCTTTATTCCTTCTGAAAAAACAAACATTCCCAACCGTAACTTTAAAGTTCTACCACACAAATATTCATTTTGGGTATCTTCACAATAAAATACAGTATTATAATCATTTTGGCTTTATAACCAATTGTAGCATGCATATATGACATTTTCAGCATTCTGGTTGGTTAAACGAGGGCTGTTGAATGGACAATATCGTCCTAGAGAGTCCTTGAAGTTTAAAGATAAATCTGGAGTGAACTGTTAGCCAAAATAACTATCGAAGTAATTTGAGGGTATCCTAGTGTCAAACTTCAAGGGTATACCAGATTAATAATTTTATGTAAATTACCCATTCTCACCAAAGATTCAGTATCAGCTGAAGCTTTGATCTGGAACACCTTTAAAGTTCAGAATAATTAAGATGAGAACTTGCAAATGTTTAAAGGATGTCTGTGAAGGCCCAAATTTCAGGTTCTCGTAACTCAAGTTCTCACTGTAATCCATTTGCATTGTATAGTAAGAATTTGATCATGCACCTACCGTAAGTCTGTACTCGGTGCTACTTCTTTTGAAACTTAAGTAAGGCTAACTTACTTTTGCTCTGGTCTCTACAAAAATTATTGTATTGAGTAGAGTCTTTTATGTAATGGTTTTTTTTATACACTCTACCGCTCTCTTTCCTTTTTTTATTTATAATCCAATTCTGAAATTGATTTGTTGAAACAAAATTAGTCTGAATTATTTGAAAGTACCCTTACATTTACATAAGATAGACTTGGAAGCATGTTGACATATGCCTACCACTTAACATTACAAAGAAATAATTACACCAGCAATTATAGAGCTTGTCAGTGAACAGAGGGCATTTACAATTTCCTTATACGACTACCCAGAATTAAGAACATGTCATCATACTTCACCCATCTAATCACATGTGACTTCTGAATCATATTTCTCTCCATAAAGCTCAACTGTAACAGCTAGGAAATTTTTGTTAAAATTCAGTTGCCTAGGGCACTACCAAGATATTGAAATTTGGTTGACAAATCTAGGCATCCCCCAGTAAACAGTAGGCTATTTATAGAACGCAAACAGAATAAATGGACTCATTGGCGGAGCCCCGAGAGCGGCACCTTTACAGGGACGGCAACTTCGAGCTGAAAATACGTAATTTATTAAAAACTTGGGCAGTTCTTTGTATATTATAAAATAATTATTATTATTATGATTCTTGTATAGCGCTCCATTATGACTACTTCATTTTTAAGCGCTTCACAGTTCACAGTTTGGTATTAACACATATCAGTCATAAAATTGTCTAAATAGATGAGTTTTTAAGCCAGATTTAAATTTACTGATAGGGGGACTCTGCCTAAGTGCAGAGGGTAGTTACACACTTGAGTGTCCACTGGGTGTCCCTTGGTGATATTTAAGTTCAAGAAAGGCTTATAATGCCTCACACAACACAAACACCAAAGACGTAGATGGCTCGATTTGCTCTCAACTATATTTATACTACACCAATAGGGGCGCACATATATATTTGGCCCCAGGCGGCAATACACCCTGCAAAACCACTGACTGGACTTAGGAGATATGTCATCCAGAGGACTAGCACTCAGACAGAATCAGGTTGCCCACACAATAAATTTAGGCGTCTCGTCTGTATAAAAATATCTGAAAAGTGCTATCGGAGGCTGTAAATGCCATCTGTCCAATGAAGTGTTTCAAACTCGATCAATTCAATGCATGCACCTTTTCTGTTGGGAGAAAACCTGAAACCATGTCATTTTATACTAATTCCCTAGCTTGCAACAGTAAGGAATGTTCAGTTATCTATTCCTATAATATAGACTAACAATTTTTTATGTTAAATTTTTACAATAATCAACACTGTGAAAAGACATTTGAAATGTGCTATTCACTTCTATATTAATTATGTAATTATTTTATGACACTGAACCTTAACCTATTTTAAAAGACAGATAAATAAAATTCTTTGAATCTCTCAGAAAACGTGAAGTTGGCCTATAATTTTCTCTAACTCATGCACATAAATTTTCTGGCCAACCAAAAATATAGGTGTTCATTTAAGCTACCTGACATCAACATTCAATTTAAATTGACCAAAGACAACTGCTAACTTGATGCAACAAATAAATTACAGATGCACTTTTTGTACCGGTACTTAAATTTTAAATAAATGATTTTAAAATACAGATGTGACGTAATCCTTTGATGTTGGCGTACCATTATTTCCAATAATGTACGGGCATCTTGCCAATAGTACATTATCTAATATAGTGAACTTGTGTGCCGTATTTCATTGAAATGCACGTGCGAGATAGTGTCTGAATTATAAGAAGTTTAATGCTCTCGCGCTTAAGACATTGCGTAATATATTGAAACAACACTCGGCTTTCGCCTCGTGCAGTATCAATATATTACTTAATGTCTCGCGCTCGACCATTAAACCACACATAATGCATCATGGGCAATAATGTATCAAAACCAAATTGAGTCTCACCTTTACTTGAGTTGGCGACAAGCCCGATTCTTCGGCAGTAACATTTATTGTTTTATTTATTTTTGCGTGTCCGATTCCGCTATTCCATGCAGAATTTAATATTTTAACTTGATTGGCATCAAACTCAGTTCTCTTAGATTTAGACTGTAAAAAGTAAAAGTGTTTATTAATGAACCAACTAACAATAACATGGATTTTAACAGTTGGTAATGAATGTTGTTTCACAATTCTTAGCCACAAATTAATGGAAATATAAGCTTAATAATTTCTTAACTTAAAATTCAAAAAATTATAATATCAACTTCAATGAACAAGAATATAATTTGGAATACAAATATATCTTTTCTGGACAATAGGCACATTATTAATAATGATAGGGTGACCCACCATGAATAAATATCTCCAAATATCTCGACAATTACGCCACAATATTTATATATATGCCAAGTCTCAAATCAGTTTCACACAATTATAGTCACTAAATAAACGATCATGTTGTACTTAATAAGCTATGACCATTAATCATCTATAAATAATAGACTGAAAACTGGTTCCAAGTGTCGTCCATAACATCCAGACACTTTTGAGTAAAAGATAGGTTACGTGCCCTTGTTTTGAAATTAGTCTCGCTTAACCAGTCTATCGACCATTCTACGTCTGATTGACAGGTCGGGATAATCAAGACTACTTTTTTACGAAACATAACAGAAAGCTAGAACAAGAAATTGAATTTAGAAATAAGCACGTTAGCTAGCTCAACAATTGTTTTAAGAAGCTTGTAAAAGTAAAATGAAACTACTGCTAGTATCATGTTCCTGTCTAAACCGAGTGATTCAGAGATATTATTTGTACTAAACCAAAAGATGCCGCTCTTAACGGTACAGTTAATGATAAAGCGATTTAAAAAATAAAACGAACGTAATTTCTAAATCTGCTGTAATAACCAAGAAGCTTAATTTTACCGCTATTCAAAATCGTCAACAATAATTTTTTTACGGCTGTAATAGTTGATAGATTTGTAGAGAATTGCACGTGCCATGGCTATTTATAGTATCATACTGTCAGAAAGTTGGTCTCGACACGGCGAATGTGCACGCTTCAGTGGTAGTCTCGAACTATCAGCGGTGGACTGTATTTCTGTAGAGTGCACGGATCACCCTAATAATGATGAAATATTCAAAACCTATGGTACAACCTCGTCGAGTTTCGTAATACTGTGAAGAAACAGTTATTGCATATCAGATTTATCCATGGTCAGCTTAAGATGGGTTGCTGAATATGCCTATCTGGGTTTTTTGACAAGATAAAGGGATATTTTTCAATTTTAAACTAACTTTCAAGACTTAGGCCAGGTCTATGCACCGAGTTTATCTCGTGGCGCGCTAAATATTTTTCAAATAGTAGACCAAATCCATTTGACTCCTAAAAAGTTCAACCGCTTGAGACATGCTACTCAACATTTGTTCGATTTTAGCTCGACTGGTTCTAGACCGTCAAACTTATCATGCGCCGAATTTAGAATGTGATGCAGGAGTCAGATTTTCTTGGAACACATGCGCATATTGATGGTAATCGTGTCTTCGCATTTCAAAGGACGCATGATTATTATAAATATACCTTCGGTTTTCATAAATTTGTAACTGCCAATCTGCCAAATGAACACAGGATTCTGATTGTTTCAGTCCCTTCTGACTACGAGGCCTTTCTGCGTCAGCTCTCACCTGACAAGCAGGGACACAGTTGAAAAAATCCACAAGGTTGACCTTGCAATATCGCAGGGATATGAACTTGGAACCCTAACCATGAGCAGCAAGCGTCATCATTCAGTTGGTCTTACCGAGCCACTATGAGCGGCAAATGGTCCTAGCAACTCGACCACACAGGGGCCCAGTCAACTCAGAAGATTATGGTTGTGCCTAGCCATATAGTTAACTGTAAAACTTTTTATATAGGACAACCTGACTATTACTGCTAAGGTGTTCATTCATTTCCCTGGGTTGAAAATCTATAAAATCATGCGAGTTTCATCTACTCTTGCTAGATAATACAGATATTCCGCCTATGGTCAATTTTGAACAAGTTTACTTTCTATCGTGTGTAATATATACTTGCATATTGCTCACATATCAATATTTTAATCAGCTGTTGGCACGACTGTATAGACTAAAAAAACATTGACCGCGCTTACATGAGCCAATTGCTTTTTGCAAGCTGTAGGCCTAAGCATGGCACATGATAAACCATGTGTAAGGCCGGGCCTCAACAACTATTTTATGGAAAACAAAAAACAACCTTGTGGTATTAAATTATAGCAAAGTCAAGGTACAAGTGGCCCAAAACAAAGTTATTAGGTTTATGCTCAACCTCCTCCCTCATAGCTATACTACTATATATATTATATATATATATAGGACTATAGGCAGTGCCGTCGGAACGAAATTTCGATTGGGGGGGGGGGGGGCTATTGGGGGGGGGGGGGGCTGTACTGAAGATGCTTTCGAAAAAGTAGGTATTTTCCAATGTTTTTACATATTTTTGCTAATTATTGCAGCCCCCCTCCGCTTCCGACGGCACTGCCTATCCCATAGGGGTCGGCGAATCTGTGGCTGTGCCAATCCGCAAGGGCCAAATTGAAAAAAAAAGGCAGGCCAAATTGAAAGAAAAGGCAGGCCTAATTTGCTACCGTACACTTGTAAAATGACGAGATTATTATTATTATAATTGATATAGGCCTTACATGTAAATCATTTGAAATTAGGTCATGTTTAGACTATTTTTATACGTAATAATAGAGTCAAGGCTCGAGCTGTTCCTATCTGAAAGCTGAAAGAAAGTTTACACACGTATCCCAGAAATGGTTTATATAATTTTAATTTCACACGTGACGGTTGATTATAGGCCTACTATTTTCTAATATTAACAATATAATCTTTTACAATTGTTATCGGTGCCATCTTGTTTTTTGTTTCGAGCCGAGGCCGAGGACCAACTTGCAAATTTTAAACACTTTGTCTTTGGGTTTCCTTCGCTATTTTCACCTATATGCATGTTTAGCCTAGTATTTGTATTCATGTGTACGTTTATTGCAAAATAAATCTATATGTCTCACAGACACAGAAAAGAGAGAAAAAACAGAAAAGAAAAAAACAATCGAAACTTACCGATTCCATGATGGAAAATACCGCCAAAATATGTCTCCAAAGCATTCATTGGTTATCAAAGCGCCAATTAAATCTATCGTTGCAAGTTCATGCCTAGTCACCTCCATCCTAGTTCCAAGCGTTGACATAATATATTATATCGCCCAAGCGTTGACATAATATATTATGTATGCGACAATATACTGTTACTTCGTGCCACAGGTCACTGACACTAATACCATATATACGCTTCAAGCTACTGACTTGAAACGTATCGCCTGTATAAACAACAACCAATGACGTAACAAGCCTGAGTAAAACCTTAATCCTATCATGCCATCGTGTATTCCTGTATATCCTGTGGCTATTCGGTTAATGGCGTCATAATACCCATTCTGACTAAAATCATTATAACAGTCTTTGTTTAATTGACCCAAAAGAGCAAAACAAAGAAATACATTTAATGACGTAACAAAAAGGAGGTCAAATCTTAAACTGATCTATTATTCAGTCAATATATGTCACTAATCAACCGAAGCTATTATACACTAGATAGGCAGGGTTAATTAGTCTTAGGTCTTAATTCAGAAATACAAAGGATTACTATAATATCGAGAATGACCAGTACTTAATTAATCATTTAGTTAGAGTTATGTCACATAGCAACCACTGTATATACACCAACTAGGTTAATCCAGACACATTTTGATATGTAATAAACTAAACGACATTCTGTGTTGTGGTGTACAGAGAATAAGGGTGATATATTTCTTAGTTTGGATATATGGAACATATTATGGACATAATGGTAAGAATTTTAAACTGATAATAATTCTATTAGTAGGCTTCAACCTTTAATCATATCTCCTGATCTATGAAAATACTCATAGATTTAGAAATTCTACTGTGTGAACCATCGTAAATTTTAAACGGATTTCTTCGATTATGAACAAACTACTTAACTTTGGTTATTATAAACTTACCTGTGTGTTTGTAATGAACTCCCGTTCGATAAAATCCATTGCACAACTAATTATCACAACGATGAGAACAAGTTCTCTCTTGAAAAATTTGAAAATTTACTTGTAATTTCGATGTCGATGTCAACAATGTCTTCGTGACGTATTGGTCGAATCCAATATACCTTTTGCGGGGGTTGGTTAACATTGAAAGATAGTTTGACAGCGCGATCATTTTGATCGTATATGGGTTTGGGCGACGAAAAATATCAATTGAAGGCAATTACATAGGAGATTTATATGGAAACCATTGATCGCCAGTCTATCAAATTTTCTTCACAATTAAAATATCACTGATTGCACGGATACTCGTAAAAATAAAGTCATGTATAAACTATAAATATCCTATCTTCTTTATGTTATAAATAATTTAACAAGGATCATGAAGCTTACCTCCGAATTCTCTGAGTGTATTTTTAATTTTATACGCATTCTTTCGATCGAATAATAACCGCTTCAGTAACATCTTTAAGCGTGTTGCGGCAGCCCTCAGCGTGTCTATTGGGTGCCCGGGTGGGTATATAATGCTACTAAGCCCGTATGACCCCGTAAGAAGCGGAACATTAATTCTCGATTCGACAGTTTTGACCGAAGTGTGATAAAGCCCGTAAAACGAATGTATAGTTGTTTGTGCGGCATGCGTGTTCAAAAGTAAATAATCCCATCCGAGTCGCTAATCAAATAATTAGAACAAAATATTTCAAAAAGTAAAGCTATAAAATTTGCAGAGATTTTACTAGAATGTAAAAGACGGTAACTAAATACAGGAATGTGGGTAGTTATGTGTGCGAACGCTCAAACTCAATGCCAATTGTCGTAGGTATCCAGACCACTCGGACCAAAGACTACTCGGACTAAGACCAGTCGGACCAAAACAAGACCAGTCGGACCAATTAAATTATATTATAAGGCTAGACAATATGCTATTTATTTATTATTAAATCACAATACAAAGAAGCAAATAATTCTTATACGGAATTCTTATATTAAGAGTTGTTTGGTTCAATTTTGTGTACGGAAAATAAATCAACGATTAGTTTTAAAATTAATTAATAATGGTGCCAAAAAAAAAATATCAATCTAAAATTTTTCTTTACTCTTGCAATGAGACTCGGTATGTCCAGACTTTTGACAGTTTCTACATATACGGGTATACTGTTCTTGTCTGATAGCCTAATTTTACTTTTTCCACATTCGCGGTATCCCCAGTGGTTTCATTCCGTTCTACCCCACTAACCCCTGGGTTACTATATATGGGGGGGGGGGGACACGTTTTCAAGTTATCCGCCCTTGATGCGTTAATATAAACAGCACATAATAATACGAAGACCGGACGTTTATATGCCCCTTTTTAAACGTGACTACAAGTGTGGTTCTCGATATTTTGCGATTTGGAATACAATTATTAATTTATTCAAACAACACGTTATTATTAGTTCGAGTAGTCATATTAAAACACACACAATTAGCAATTTATTCAAATAACACTTTATTATTGGTTCGAGTAGTCATATTAAAATAAACACAATTATCAATTTATTAAAATAAAACTCTATTATTGGTTCGAGTAATCATATTAAAACAAACGCAATTATCAATTTATTAAAACAACACTTTATTATTGGTCCGAGTCGTCTTTCTGTTGGGTCCGAATAGTCTTTTTGTATGGTCCGAGTAGTCTATTTGTTTGGGCTGAGTGGTCTATCAGTTGGTCCGACTGGTCTTGAACTGAGTGGTCTTTGGTCCGAGTGGTCATGGATTCTTGTCGTAATTGTACTTGAATTTCCTATGCTGTCACCCCTAATACGAAATGATATCCTCCGCAGAGTGACGTAACCATCTTCCATATTGGTATTTTTCTCTGGGAAAAGTTTGTGATATTTCAATTTTTCAAGAGAGAACTTGTTTTCATCGTTGTGATAATTAGTTGTGCAATGGATTTTATCGAACGGGAGTTCATTACAAACACACAGGTAAGTTTATAATAACCAAAGTTAAGTAGTTTGTTCATAATCGAAGAAATCCGTTTAAAATTTACCAAGACTAAGACAGTAACAGTTTATGCCCCGGTACGTCCGATTTGTCTCGAGCAATGTCCATTGTTGATCTGTCTCTGTTAACAAATGTTGTTGGAGGGGTTGGATGGTCGAATGGTCAGAACGTGCGCGCTGTATCATAGGACCGGTCATTGAGTCAACAGTGGTTTCGATTCTCCAGTTGTACCTGACAAGGAGTAGGGTCGCCTGTCCAACCTCGCTGGTTTTCGCTGGTCCTCGCACTGCTAAAGAAACCTACGCGCAGGTATCGAAATAAAATTGAACCATATGTTAGTCCCGAACGAAATGACCTAGTTTGTGCCGAGTGGACGTACCCCCTTCCTCTCTTTCTCTCTCTCTCTAAATTTAGAAATTGTAACCGTTTATTCACCGGTTAGTCCGATTTTCTCGAGCAATGCCTGGTGTTGAAGTGTCTCTGTTAACAAAGCTTGATTTATTGAACAAGTCCAAACGCATATATCCCAAAGGTCAATAGGCGTAAATAGGGCTAGGGGCTGAGGATTGTGGGTTAGTGTAAGGTCTTGGGTTATGGTTGGGGTTTACATCTAGTGACCTTGCCAAACAGATCGAACCCTACTAACAAATGTTATTTTAGCTGCCAAATAATTTATGAAAATGTTTCAAGAACTATCTTTGATAAATATTGAGGTTGGTAGGATTTAATATACGGGTTGTTATTTTGTATGTTTTTAATCCATGTCTAGACTGGACGTTATTTTTTTAAACAATATTTTTATCCAGGATGTCTGAATGGGAATGGGAAACAGGCTTAGCCGATGTAAAACCCCTCTTACTGGACGTTATTGGTTCTTATACATTAATAATAATAATTCTACTTTGAAGAGGCTAAATCCGCCTATTGCGAGCCTTTCTTTATGCCTTAAATATTATACAAATCAATAATCAGATATTTATTAAATTTCTAAGACGAAAATCAACTCTCGATGCCATCGGATGCTCGAGATTGTCAAAGGATTTAAAGGCTCAATACCACTCTTGTTGTAACTGAATAATATGTCCCAATCTTTATTCTGGTCAACAAATTGTACTATTTTAGAATATTTCAATTAATTGATGATACAAATTTCATCTTAACACACCTTATTTAAAATTTTTGAAATGGTTTGAAACGTCTAACGTAAACCTTTTCAAATGAAACTTTGATTTAAAAATATTTTCGAACCCTCTGGACAAGTAAAATAGGATGTAATGGATAATTTACACAACAGGTAGGACACTTAAACATCTAGTACTTAGAGATATTATTTATTTTCTGGAGCTTTCAAGCCAGCAAGAGTGTTATTGTCCCTTTTAAACACAATTATCGTTTATGATTTAATTAAAAATGGACAATCGAGGCATTGTTCACTATCGTAGCAATTGTAGCAATGGCAATCATAGCGCGAACTGTCAGCTCTTTATCGAAATCTTACTAAATGCATCTATATTATGGTAAACAATATATGAGAACATTTTAAAGAGGCATTAGGTAAGATTAGTAAAGAGCTGACAGTTCTCGCTATAAAATAGTTAAAAATAGATAATAAAAACAGAATACGCTGAAAATATGCGTGTTACGTGTGTTTAGATATGTCCGACGTAGAGATGGCAGTCTTAACCCATAGGCTCACTCTAAGTTTTTGAACATATTCATGGTTAACTTTTCGTGAATAATGGGGGTGACTTGAACAAAAAGATAACATAATTGGGCGGTGTGAAATTATAATGGTGATAATATTGTGAATTGTTGGTATTTCCTCCTTTCAATATATCATTTGTTCATTATTCATTCTTTCATTTAAACATTTCTATTTGTCTTATGTTTCTATTAATCCTGCGTTGTTAATTAGATGTTAAGTTACTTATCTAATGACAGACAGTTGACAGCTGACACATTAATAGATTTAATTACTATCTTATTGTTTATTTCATTGTAATGTCTTTTATATTTTAATCTTACCTCTTTAATTGTTATTAGTACCATTGGTGTATATTGTTAATTCCTTAGATACCATTTTATTATAAATACCGATTTGTACATTGATATAGCATTCTAGGTTTCATCCCGTTTCCAGGACAGTTACTCTGCTTGTCGGACGTGCTGTTCTCCGTATATGATGTTAAATGTTTTCCGGCAATAAATAGTCTCAAGGATAGTTCCAGTCTTTAGTTATTATCGAAGATTTACACTGTTACAAAATCATTAGAATCCAATGTAATCTGTAACTGGCCACAATTTAAATTAGAATTCAGCCAATTTGAATAATTATTGGAGCAAAATGGTTATTTTTTTATGTACTTTTGAATTTGTATTCTGGCATGTTGGTAAAAAGTATGTCATGCAAAATCGACCAAGACGATGACAATCTTTGGAAGTGCATAATGCTCAATCTGATAATAATACAGATCTATATTTCGTTTCGTTTTTTTAGACTTATTTTCGATGGTCTACACTATATGAAGATCTGACTATTTATACTGGGAGGTCGCGTCAGGGGTTATATGAGCAACTTTTGACCCTATGACATTGATTAATCAATCAGCGTTGACTTTTCTAGGGGTTTATCCACAGTTCCGTGCAGAGCACGTCAAGAACTTACCGTAACAGACCGTTTCATTGGTTAATCCCTCACTTCAACCAGAACGCGTGTTATTTAACAACTTTTCCAGATCCGAGTGTAGTAAAGACAAGAGAATTGAAATTTTGAACTATAAAAAACGATACGAAAAAGGATCTGTGTTTAATCAGATTGTGCATATACTATTATTTTAATGATGAATTCCCACGTACAAACTGTGTTATTCAAACTAATTTATCTATCAAACATTTGCTTCAAATCACGTTTTAATAGGGAAAGAACTACCTCATGCCGTAGAATTGTATTTTAAGCGGACTTGTTTGTCATGTACCGTCTTCATCAGCCCAGGTCGGAGCAGAAAAGTAGACCGTTAAACCCCATTTCATTTCATTGTTTATCATGTAACTTGATTGAGAGAGGGTCCATTTATAGCTTGTATTCTCCCGTTTAATCGCAGAGTATGTTGTACGTTTATACCCCCCCCCCCCATGTTCCCACAATGGCTTACCTTTCGATCAAGAAATAACAAGCGCTCCCTAATTCAAATTTGCAGACAATAAGCCGTCAGGTTGACAGCTAGGGAATCCTTTCGTGGTAATTAATATTTAAGCCAACTAATTGCTTCTGTCCAGGACTCATGTAAGCGGACTACACATCCCTACTGTTAAAATTGTAAAAATAACCGTGAACCATCATTTAATTTGATGTACTTTTTAAATATTTCAGTGATATGGGATCCTCGCCATCGAAACCGACCGTTCATCGTATCAATATTACCCCAGACGGCAAGGGCGATAACCAGCAACTAGTATCATCACTGCACGCGAAGGTACAAGTTGTAATCACACCCAAAATAAACAAAGACGAGAGACGTCCTTCACCTTTAGGCCAAAAACCACCTCTACCATTATCCACGAAACCTAAAACAAACATATCCTCAGTCAAAAAGGTACTAACGGAAACAGCGGATAATCAACAAACATTAAATCCTCCGAATAAAACAGAACTACAATCAGAATCTCGCCTCCAGTCACTACCAGATACATTCCTTTCATCCCCGGTCCTGAACCGGAGATCTCACGTACGAGTTGGAACAATGAATAAACCAACATCCGAAACTCCAGAAAAATCCCATCAACGTATCATGGATGGCTATAAAAGTGACACTGGAGCAAATCTGGAGTCTTTAGAAGCAGATACTAATAACGCTATAATCAAGACCAAAATTATATCAATCACAAACACAGCCTTCTTTGCCATGAAACCATTCTCTGCTCATTGGATTCAGAAACACAGAACAGTTCTTTGTGACTATATAAATAATAAACCGGAAATTATAAAATATATTTGTGAGGTTTCCATAAGCGCCAATTCCAGTACAACAGCTTCCAGTTCCCCTGCTATCCAAAAAGCTTTATTGGTTATTGTAAATTTAAGCGACCATTCGAGAGAATTGTCCAAAGTTATTAGTAGCGTTCCTGGTTTTATACAACATATGTACGATGTTCTTGATGAGAATGCGTCCAAAGAAGACCAATTAACTGTAAGTATGTCGAATGTCAATTTTTATAATCTCTCCAAAACACTGATCATTTAACGATATACACTTACACGATCTTATTTATGAAAATACGTTCACACTTACCCGATCTTATGAAAATACGTTCTTTGGTTCTTTGGTTCTTTTCCGGTCGGGGGGTGGGTGGGGTGGGGTGGTGGTTGCTGTATCACGCGGCCTGTCATTGAGTCAACTGGCGTGGTTTCGATTCCCCGGTTGTACGCGGCAAGGAGTAATGGTCGCCTATCCAACCTCGCCCTACGGTTTCCTCCCACTACTAAAGACCCCTATGCGCAAGCGAATTATTGAAATAAAATTGAACCATATGTTAGTCCCGAAATCATCTAGTTTGTCTCGAGTGGACGTTAAACCCCATTTTTTTCTATTTCTCTCTTTAAAAAATAATAATAAATATTTGTTGCTGGGAAAAGACTGATTCTAGATTATTTTGATGAGATTTTTTTTTATTTTAGAGTCAATCAACGACACACCTGATTCGAGTTCTGATGATAATACATAACGTGGCCATGACAGACAGCAATATTCCAATGTTACAAGAGATGAATTTTACACCCCTTTTACACACTTTCTTGTCCTTCGTCAACGACACGATACGAATGACGGCCATCTTGGCAATGGCGGATATTATGACCGAAGACGAGAGTCACTATATAAAAGCCAATACATCCGTTATAGGTTTCTTACTCCGAATTTTTTCCCGTTCTTTAGAGACTGAGTCTCGGACAGCTCGTGATAGTCATGGTATGATATGGGGTGTTTTAGAGCTGGCCAAAGGTATGTTTTATTTTGGTGTTTAATTAATATCAGTTTATCGATCTCGGTATCGAGATAGAAGTTTACCGTTCGTTTCTGTGAAATCTCGCCTCCTATGTTTTAACCTAAATTCTGTCCTTAAGCTCCTCCCCATGTGGATGCTGATTGGCTTGATTTGTTTGAATGAAATGCTGCAGATTTCTTGACAATTAAACATACATTATGCACGAGCTAAATCTGCTTATTGCAGGTCTTTCTTTAAGCCCGAAAGGTTATATAAACTATTAATTAGACATTAATTAACTTATCCGACCATAATCAACTCTCGATAGCATCGAATTTCTCCGATCTTAAATAGATTAGAACAGTTCAGTCATATTTTGATTTAAGCTAAAAATGGACACCCGAGACGTAGCTTCGAACAACCAGCACGGTGGTTGAAATTATTGCACACGTCTTGTCAAACCTTCAAAGGCTAATATCTTCGCTCGCAATAGAGTAATTTGAATAAAACTTTCAAATTATTCATTTTACGTTATCTATTTTCGAACAATTATAGCGAGAATGACTAACTCTTTATCTAATTCTGACATAATGTATCTTTAAGCATGGGTTCGTAGTATGACTTACATATTAATGATCCGTGGAAAATGTCCCAAGGATCATTTATTTATATGTTAGGGTGACCCATGCACCTACAGAAATACAGTCAACCGCTGATAGTTCGAGACTACCACTGAAGCGTGCACATTCGCCGTGTCGAGGCCAACTTTCTGACAGTATGATACTATAAATAGCCATGGCACGTGCAATTCTCTACAAATCTATCAACTATTACAGCCGTAAAAAAATTATTGTTGACGATTTTGAATAGCAGTAAAATTAAGCTTCTTGGTTATTACAGCAGATTTAGAAATTACGTTCGTTTCATTTTTTATATCGCTTTATCATTAACTGTACCGTTAAGAGCGGCATCTTTTGGTTTAGTACAAATAATATCTCTGAAACACTCGGGTTAGACAGGAACATGATACTAGCAGTAGTTTCATTTTACTTTTACAAGCTTCTTAAAACAATTGTTGAGCTAGCTAACGTGCTCATTTCTAAATTCAATTTCTTGTTCTAGCTTTCTGTTATGTTTCGTAAAAAAGTAGTCTTGATTATCCCGACCTGTCAATCAGCCCTAGAATGGTCGATAGACTGGTTAAGCGAGACTAATTTCAAAACAAGGGCACGTAACCTATCTTTTACTCAAAAGTGTCTGGATGTTATGGACGACACATGGAACCAGTTTTCAGTCTATTATTTAAAGATGATTAATGGTCATAGCTTATTAAGTACAACATGATCGTTTATTTAGTGACTATAATTGTGTGAAACTGATTTGAGGCTTGGCATATATATAAATATTGTGGCGAAATTATCGAGATATATGGAGATATTTATTTATGGTGGGTCACCCTATATATGTAACGCCAAAAGCTCATTCAAAAACAGCCGATTTTATGATTTACCGGGAACCATTTTTAGCGCGCAATGTGAATGGTTCGCCTAAATACGCAAAATCTTTGAAGAAGCGCGAATTTGAGTCGCCATCTTGGATCTTTGTGAAGCGACCGACTGAAGGACACATCGCGTAACATTCAAAATGGCCGACGTATGGCCAGAGAGAAATGAACGGTAAACTTCTCTCTGGAAGCAGAGATTGTCAGTTTATGTTACTTAGATCCGTTTTCCAAGTGCGCATTTCGTAGGCGTTTCTGGTTACACAGAAACGGCCCCATTACAATTGTATAAGGCATACCATTTCGCCGGCGAAAAAGCACGCGTAATTCCTTACTTTGAAAACAAGAAAAAGAGTAGTTCTTAATTCCATATCCTATCTAATACCACCTTTGAATTCAGATAACCATGGCATTCATTACAGACGTCGATACGATGTTCCCTGCATATGATATTTTATTTGCGGGGAGGGGGAGGTGGGCTATTGCTTTAACGCGTCGTGTGGTTTCGATTTCCCATTTGTACGTGACAAGAAGCAAGATCGCCAGCTCAACCTCGTGGGTGTTCACCGAGGCCCCGCGTTTCCTCCCACTGCCAAAAACCCTACGCACTAGAAAATTATTGAAATAAAATTGAACCATATGTTAGACCCGAAATGACGTAGTTAGTGTCGAGTGGACGGTACCCCCCCCCCCCCTCTCTCTCTCTCTCTCTCTCTCTCTCTCTCTGGGACCGCCCATGTCCCCCGTAGTTGGATCGCCTCCTGGGAGCTAGCTCCTACCAATGTTGAAGACCCATTCATGTCTACAAGTCTTTTTTATGTTTAATTTGACAGGTATTGGGCGTTTGGCTAGAAATGATGGTAACAAAATACATCTTGTCGACGCAGGTTGTCTCCCTTTACTACTGAAACTTGCCAAGTCAACGAATCTGGAAGAACAAAAAGGTATTATATTTATAACATATAAAATAGAAATGAACACTTAAAGCTACATGATGGTGACTCGGCTAATGTAGCTTCATCCAACTTACGATACCAGTTTGGGACGGGGGTGGAAGTCGGGGTTGGGGTCTGAATTTTTAACGCTAGCGCCTTTGATCTCAATTGAAACTACACGCAACTAAGCTGGTGACTCGGCTAATGTAGCTTCGTCCAATACATGATACCACTAAAGGACGGAGGGTGGGAGAGGGGTGTGGGGCTGAATGGTTAACGCCTGGGCATTTGCTCACAAGGTCTGTCATTGAGTCAAGTGGCTTGGTATCGAATCCCCGCTTGAACTTGACATGTTGTAGCGTCGCCTGTTCAACCTCGGGTTTTTTTCTGGATCCCACAGGGGATATCAGTAATGAGAGATAATCACCCGGTTTCACAAAGTATTATCAGATAAGAATTTACTCAACTTTCAATTACTGTTTATGAGAAATATCTTTGATCCAGAAACACAAAACTTTGCACATAATTTCTTATTGATGTATTTGATACACTAAAACAACAACATTTGTATAAAGAAATATATTTGATAAAAGGCTATATATTAAATTAAAATAAAGCAAACAATTTTTGAGTAAACTCTTAACTGAGTCTGAGATTGCTTTAACTATGGACTGTAGGACCCCAATTGGATTGTATCAAAATCAGCATAATTATATTTTATCTGTGGTCTTCAACCCGTGATCCCATCATTGAATAATAATCATATGTTTTATTTTATCAGAGGCCCTAAAATCGATCTGGGCTTTATCCTTTGATGAACATAACCAGGACACCATTATCCAGGAAAATGGATTGATATATTTCCTGGAAACGCAACATAAAACCGGTGCTGCCGATATTAAATCCACCTGCTATGGTATACTATGGACAATGAGAAACAAACTTATCAGTTCAGATAAACATTCAGAATTAGGTGAGTGTTTATAATATATACGGTCATCTGAAATGTGTTCGGTTGGAGTGGGGTTGGGCTGTCATGAGTGTCGCACTTCGATATCTAACTGGTCGGTCACCACCAGCTTGCGATCGTGATTTCAATTCCTGATGTGAGAGTATGTGGCTTGGAGAGATGAACGCCTCGTAGGTTTACTCTGGTTTCACAGGAAGCGGACGTTAAACACCAATAGACCAAGAAGAAGCTCCGTTTGGGATGAGAGTAGCTCAAGGAGTAAGTCGTTGGATCGCTAACCTGAAGATCCCTTGTTCGATCCCGGTGTTGGCTGAGAAAGTTCATCGGATTTCCCGCCTGGTTACCCTTGTATGTTTGTAGGACGGAGCGCCTGGGGTGAAATTCCGTAGTCCCGTGTACATATTGACATGCACAGAAATTAACCCTTGAAATTTGACTGCTCACAGTCCACTGTACTGTATCATGTCTACCTGTCTGCAATCGTGCAGTCCGCGCAGAACAGATGGATGCAACGCGCCAGAGATTCGCATATCATCTCAGGATCCGATGTTTGTTTAGGTGGGAACCCCAAGTCCCGAGAGCACATTATCTTAAATTAGGCAACTTACCTTAAATTTAGATAACTTATCTTAAATTTAGATAACTAATCTTAAAATTAGATAAATAATCTTAAAATTAGGTAACTAATCTTAAACTTAGATAACTAATCTTAAAATTAGATAACTTATCTTAAATTTAGATAACTTATCTTAAATTCAGATAACTTATCTTAAATTTAGATAACTTAACTTAAATTAGATAAATCTTATCGTAAAATTAGATAACTTATCTTAATGATATATCTAAATCAGATTTTCACGTCCAACTGTTCTGCACCGACACTTCATACAGTTGGACTACTATGCGAGTATATTTACCCGGGCAGGTCCTGGCAGTTTTTAAAACTATGGGTGGGCCTTTATGATTCCGACGCAATGAACCCTTTGGCGGCGATGTGTTTTGTTTATTTTATGTTTTAAAAGGCCCTTTTTATTCTTTTTTTTCAAAGGAAAACGGCTTGGTGCAAAAAAGACACCGACTGTCTCTAGCAGCGCTAAAGAGAAAGCCGAACTCGAAAAGTCCGAGAAAGAAGAAAAGGATAGTGACGCTGCCAGAGGTCACGTGATGATTAGCTATCAGTGGGGCAATCAGGAGTTATTGGCGAAGATAAGGGATAGAATCAGGGGTCACAATGAGAAAGTATGGATGGACATTGATGACATGGAAGGTTCAACTCTGCAAGCAATGGCTGAAGCGGTAGAACAGGCTGATATTGTTTTGATTTGTATGTCTAGAAAATATAAAGATAGTCCAAACTGTCGAGCAGGTAAGATATATCCTCATTCAACTCCTGTCCTTTTTTAAAGTTTCCCAAGAATCATATTAGATTTGTGATAAGGAGCAGGGTATAGCCCCTCCTCCCCACCACACCCCAACACCGCCCTGCGCACTTCTAAGCGTTTAACTGAAATAGCCATAAACCTTAGGCTAGTAAAGAAATCGCCTGGTTTGTCTTAAGTGGAGGCAATTCTCATCAGCATGCTCATCATTTAAATATTTCAATTAAATCCAGGGACATCAATTTCAAGTAATTTCAGAGGCTGGATATGTTCATCAGTTAAATATTTCAAATAACTTTAGAGGCTGAATATGTTCATCAGTTCAAAATTTTGAATGATTTCAAAGGATGAATATGCTCATCAGTTGTATATTTTGAATAATTTCAGAGACTGAAATATGCTCATCAGATAAATATTTCAAGTAATTTAAGAGGCGGAATGTGTTTATTAAATTATATTTTGAATAATTTCAGAGGCTGAATATGCTCATCAGTTAAGAAAGAAAGTAATACCTTTAATAATGGAGAACGGTTATCGACCTGACGGCTGGTTAGGAATGATTCTTGGCGCCAAATTATTCTATGATTTTAGTGGTAAATATCCGTTTGAATCCAAGATGGAGGGTTTGTTAAAAGAAATCCACCAGACTATGCATGGTGGAGAGAAGACAACGACGTCATTTCCGCCAGCAATAGCTCCTAGCTATGATGACGTAGATGGACCACATGATGTAAGTGAAAATTAATAGATTTTAAGACTTTCAATACAAATCTGTAAATGAGAATATTTAAACTGATGAGCATTTATTTAACAAATTTATTATTGTGCAGAACAGTTGGCGAGAGCAAACTCGTGCAATATATATAGTATGGCTTTAGTAATTATAAATACTTTTTCCATGTATTGTTTAGATTGTGCCTATAAGACAGGAAGTGCTATATGCCCCTAATAAACACCCAGTAACTAAACGTAGTCAAGTTAAACAGTGGAGTACCAAACAAGTAAAAGACTGGATAACCAAACATGAACTTATTGGGTAAGTTGAAAATTTGATCGAATACTCAAAATTAGAGCGAGGAAGATAGACATGGGGTTTAACGTCTACTAAACACAAACAAGGTCATTTCGGGATTAATATATATCCCACTTGCGCATACGGGTCTTTAGCCGTGGGAGAAAACTGAGGGACCTGGCGAAAACACGCAAGGTTAGACAGGATACCCTACTCCTTGTCACGTCCAAGTGGGGAATTTAAACCACGCCACTTAACTCAATACCGAGCCTGGAAGCTACAGTGGCTAAGTGGGTAAGACGAGACTCGCTAGCCTGCAGACAGCGTGATAATTTCGGGGTTTTCCGGCGTAGTTTCCCCTTGTCAGTGGTGCAGGATGGAGGGCCGATAAGGACAGCTGTCTAGTCGTTCGGATGGGACGAAAAACCTAGGTGTCGTGCGCGTTAAAGATCCCTTGGCAATAGGAATTCGAAAAGTAGGCCATTATAGTGCCGCTGCTCCGGAAAAATTTCCCTCATAGCACACTGTATAGAGTATGCCCATCTTCATTAGTGCAGTCAACGCAGCACAGTAGAACATTAAACCCCATTTTATTTAATTTCAATGACCGACCAAAACTAGATAATGAAAAGGGAATATGATGAAAATTTCAGTGCAATTACTTCATTCAGAGCGAGGTTATGACTGGTTGAAATCGCAGAGTCTCGATTTGCATTGCTACCATTGTTATGATAATAATAAAAAACAAAGTCTCAATTATTAATTTTTAGATTGTATTATTAAATGGTGATTGATCGTGTTTCAATCCGTTTAAAATCCCAACCATTCGATGTCCTAGAGAGTTAATTATATGCCTGTCATGAGAATAAATGTCTAATTAATTATTTATACAACATATGAAGCCAAACGAAAAATCTACAATAAACAGATTTAGCTCTTACATAATGTGTCTATAAGTGATAACATGAGTTTTAAAATAGAAATATATTTTGTTTTTAGAACTGGTGCAGAAAAGCTAACTGGTAAAGAGATCGCCTTTCTTCAAAAACTACAAGCAACGGTGAGTATTTCTAATTATACAAGTAACTTATGATATAGGTGCAACACGAAAGTACTATGAATTTTTCACACAGGTGACATAAGGTGTTCCCGAAATAGTAAGCATGCCCTCTGTGGTGCTTATCTCGTCACACGTCACTCATTGTTGTTAGTTAGAGCAGTGGTTTAGATATATACTCTTCATAAAAAAAAGAATAGAAAACTGCGGAAATGCACTGCTGTTTTTATTAGGTGTAACCAGTGTATGTTAATAACAGGTCAATTGCCTACACATGAACATAAACAGTTCATATGGGCGGCTTATCTGATGGCCCCATTTCACACGCAAAGAGATACACTGTCAAAAGTGAAAATGGACGTTTTTGATTTTTGTCTTAATAATGAGTAATTGCTCCCCAATTTGCATTTCAATATCCCCTACTTTTTGTTAAGAGTATATGATTTGTGGGAGCAAAATTAAGGTTTTAGATGAGTGAATTTTCCAAACACATAAGCATACCTTGTATCGTGTACGACAATCAATAGTACTCTCAGCCAGGTAGGGCGATGGTTTGGATGAATAATATTTGTAAATGATAAATTAAGTTGTATCTTATTTTTCATTTTTGCAGGCCCCGGAATTTTATTACAAGACATTAAAATCAGACGTTGGTTTTAAGAATCTGAAGGAAATGGCGAATTTTGAGGAAGCTATGGACGATTTACCATGAAAGGATTTTATACTTACAATCACCAATGTCGCAATATACCACAAAGAGGGTCTTCTCAAGGTCGTGAATACTGTAGAAGATATCTATACATGATATAAAAGAGTGCGTTCAATGATACAAATTGATAATGGACTGTTTATCTTCCGACAGCGGCTAAAATTTACTCCACACCTTAGCGGATGTTTGGACAACGCCTATAATGATACATGTGTGAACTATTTGGTCGGTACCATGTGGAACCTCTGTGGTATATACAATATCATCTCTTCTATTGGGGAATACGTCAAAGACTTTCCTCATTTCATATTTTAAGAATATTTTCTTATTGTACCCCGTTTCCACAACAATGTTCCTATTTTACCTCCTTTACATGTTAACAGATTGTTGTTCAGTGGAACTATAACAGTGTCCATCGTTAAGTGACTTGACTAAATGTACTGGATATATGGCAGATGATGCGTCTTAATGGATGGATATTTAAATGATTACTTGTGACTGATTGGATGAATGTATGACTTGTGACTGATAAATGACTGTTGACTTGTGACTGATTGGATGAATGTATGACTTGTGACTGATAAATGACTGTTGACTTGTGACTGATTGGATGAATGTATGATGACTTGTGACTGATAAATGACTGATGATTTGTGATTAATTGACTGGATGTGTAATGGACAAGTTTAATTTAAAAACATCTCCATCACTAATTGACTTTTGAGGTCTGACTTGTGTCTTACTTGTGTACGGCAGATTTTATTGACGGATAAACTTAGAGTAGTGTTATATCATTATCCGGTAAGATCACGTAACTAAAATGGTGATAGTACGATATGCAATAATACCTTATCTACAATATGTCGTATTTTAGTGCTGTGTATGTTATTCAAGACAATCTACGTGAGTTTCCATCCCGTATCTTAAACAAATGGACTACGCGTTTATTATAGAACTATTTGAATATAGAATCGACCCACTCGTTCTTGATAAAGACGGGAGAACCCTCGTCGAAATGTCGCTGAAATAAATCCTTTAAGTAACTTGTATTCCATATAATTGTGTCATGTATTTCTTTCACTCTGTTTTAACTTCCAGAACAACGAACGATTTATTAACAGTATTAAAGTCACTGGATAGCAAAAACACGCTTTGTATATCATATTTATTAACAGTATTAAACTATGTCACTGGATAGCAAAAACAAGCTGTGTATATCATATTTATTAACAGTATTAAATTATATCACTGGATAACAAAAACAAGCCTTGTATATCATATTTTTTAACAGTATTAAACTACATGTATATCACTGGATAACAAAAACAAGCTTTGTATATCAAATTTATTAAAACAGTATTAAACTATGTCAATGGATAACAAAAACAAGCGTTGTATATCATAATTTTGCATAGTTATGATTTATATATCGTATCTTATGTTTTATTTATTGCTATATACAATGATATCGTATTGTTTTAGGTTTTATTTTGTATAGTTATAATTTGTATATCATAATTTATGTTTTATTCATTGCAGTATATATGTATAATGAAAGCGTATTGTTTTATTTTGTAGATTTATAATGTTTTATGTACTTTATGTATTCATATATACAATAAAATCATATTGTTTTCTGTATTTTACTAGTTTGAATATTGCGAAAGAGGGAGAGGAAGAGAGAGGAATGGGGTTTAACGTCCACTCGAAACAAACTAGGTCATTTCGGGACTAACATATGGTTTAATTTTATTTCAATAATTCTCTTGCGCGTAGGGGGTCTTTAGCAGTGGGGGAAAACCGGATGACCCGGAGAAAACCCACGAGGTTGGACAGGCTACCCTACTCCTTGTCACGTACAGCCGGTGATTCGAAACCACGCCAGTTGACTCAATGACAGATTTTATGATACAGCGCGCACGTGCTAACCATTCGGTCATCCAACCCACCAGAATATTATCAAATAACTTTCCAAGAAATAACAAAAGCTCGCTAGTTTGGAAGTTGGGGATTCGATCCCGGTGTGGGCCGAGAAATTTCATCGGGATGTTCTGGAGTGGTTTCCCCTTGTTAGAGGTGCAGGGCGGAAGGCCTGAAAGGGACTGCTTCTAGTCGTTTGTATGAGACAAAAAAACCGAGGTCCCGTGTACACATTAGCGTTCACGTAACAGATCTCTAGGAGTGCATTTTACGAGTCTGAATATTAAATAATATGATGATGTGGTAAATTGCACCCGCCATATTTGAAGATTTGTATTTGGAAATTTGTTGTTCGAGATTTGTTTTTCATTATATTTCTCTGATGAAATGTAAATGTAAGATAATTTTTGATTATCTAAAATAAATTTTATCTTTATATTAAAACACATTTAAATTAAACAAAAATACTTTTTACAAATCTGATATGACAAATGTCTGATTTGTATGACAAATGTCTGATTTGTATGAAAAATGTCTGATTTGTATGACAAATGTCTGATTTGTATGACAAATGTCTGATTTGTACAACAAATGTCTGATTTCTATGACAAATGTCTGATTTGTATGACAAATGTCTGATTTGTATGACAAATGTCTGATTTGTATGACAAATGTCTGATTTGTATGACAAATGTCTGATTTGTATGACAAATATTGATTTTAAGATACAAATGTTAATTTTAGTGTACAAATGTCTATGAATTAAGAACTAAGGATTAAGAACACTGAATAAAAAGAGCTGTTTGGTCTTCCATAGTATTAATATATTACGCAATACAGACCCTATCACGCACATTGTAGCACCATGGGTCTATTGTCAGATGTTGAATGCGGGCCACATCCTACGTATGACCCATACATCTTTTATTACTACATATCTTATTAGCCTTGTAATCGTCTAGTAATTTCACTTGTTGTCTTTGCTTCCCCTTCACGTTGTGTATTTACTCCTTATTTCTAATTATCTATCTCAGTTAGTTAAGACGTTTGTCTTACCAGGAATAACAATGCAACAGTTCGTTTTTACATTTTATATATCATAGCTGCTTACCTTTGGTACAATGCATAATAGAATAAAGTATGTTTTGATAATATATATAATATTTGTATGCACTGTTCTTAAGTCACGATTGTCTGCGTTGTAGTTAAACATGTAATTAATTCAATATATCATTTACCGGCTGCACATGATCTGTGTGCAACACTCGGCAGGACTCCAAAGGAAATGTACTAGTGGTCAGTGCATCATACAATGACATGATAATGACTTCAAAAGAATACGCAGTGCAATTACAGATACCATTATCTGATAAATAAACAATACCATATATGATGATCACTCTTAGGATCTTCCCTAATTATCGTACGCTGACAGTTAGGCATACGACTAAAGACGACCACAGACGGGCGGAGAAGAGACTTGGAATCGCCCGAGTTCAGCCGCTGCCTTGGCAGAGGGACAGAATGTTGGATTTAATATTGTTATATGTGTTCCTGTCGTATCTATAGTTCCCGATGTAGTTTAGTTTTGTGGTATCGATGTAACTGTTTGATATTCTGTTCCCGTTGTATATAAATGTTGTATTTACTAAACTGATCTCTGTTATCACTAAGATAGTGTTACACAGACTAATTGGGCGAGTCTGCTGATAGAAATTGCTACATCGGTCTAGGAACTCAGATGGTAATCTCTCCGAAATCTAATGAAATCTGCCTTAAAAGTTTGCCATGATTTCGTTTATAGGTCCCACTGACATCACGCACCGACTAGGCTATTTATGACCCCGAACCTGTGCAATTACTGATATGATTAGTTACTAAAACCAAATGATGCAATTAGTAAATTTCCAATCACATGTAATCTGGTGTTATGTTGTTGACACATAGAACCAGTTATGTTTTGGTTTTATAACTCTTTTTAAATACCAATCTGTCATTCATTCACTCATTTTAATTTAAGTACATATTATATGTGAATCTAATAATTTACCAAAAGATATTAATTAATTCATTGGTACTAATTCAAAGCGCAAAAATTCTACAAAAGTGTTACAACATGCTTTTTAATGAAATACGTTGCGCGAATCCAATATTTTATCTAGTATAAATAATGTACGATTGGCGAGTTGCCCGTAGATTATTTGTATTTTAAAGTTTGTTAATCATCCGTGTCAAGGCCTGGTTTCAATAGAAAAGGTTGCCTTGGCAGCCGGAAATTTGATATAAGAGTAGGTCATAGTGCCGCTGCCCGGGCAAAATTTCCCTCGTAGCACACTGAATGGCGTATGCCCGTCTTCATTAGCTCATTTACCGAGCTGCCTAATCTTTGTCCTCAATCTGACCAATCTATTTTGAATGGTGTTGTCACCAAACGTCACACAGTCGTCATGCAATGCAGTTATTAACACTGCTTAGTATAAATCCCGTCGTACACGAGCAAATTTTCTTTTGACATTGCCATGGGTAGTTTGGTTACAGTGATCAAATCATAGCAGCACTTGTTCAGTCTAGTGCTGGATAACAAATCATATGTGGACGCCATCTTGCAGGGCCCACTCTCAGATCTACAAAAAACAACATATTTTATTTCATCTCTAAGCACGAAAACGTTTATATTTTCACTCATGCTACGCATTCGTGAAAATATGTTTTCTTGCTTCTCGATAAAATAAAATATGTTATTCACGACAAAACGACAAAAATCCTCTATTTATTTCTAAAGCTTACTAGAGTGGTAGGTAAATATAATGTTGTAACAACTAACTATCTTGAAGTGTTGTAATGAGGTTATCTCGCCGCACGCATGCGTTTGAAAGGTAGGCGAGACACGAAACGAAACGAATCAAAAATTAAATTAAAGAGTACAATTGAAATTTTTGCCCGTGTTTGTTATTAAATAATCACGAAAGTCAAGTGCATAATGAGTTTATTTTTTATTCGGCTTATATATATTTATCAATACATGTTTGTATCATATCTCGTGGAAAGCTATTTGTGAAGATTATTTGCTGCGACCTCCGAATCCACGCTTGATATTAACATTTGCTTACATCAGAAATTGAGATGCAACAGGCAGATAAGTTGGTGCCATAGGCGTACGGACTTGATGGCAGTTAGGGGGGGGGGCAGAACCGAAATGCCCGAAAATATTTCGGGCTTACAGACAGCGGCGCCGGTTCCCTCGAGAGGCGAAGAAGCGGAGCTCACCTTGTATGGACCTCCATACAATTTGGGAATATTTGACGGCTGCAAACACGTTTTCCTGCTATTTCAACCGGTGAAAAGCAACTTCAAAGTGGTCTAATATAGCCTAATTAAGGTGGCTGACTCGAATTCCAATCAGTCGTTTACAGTCCTCGAAGGACCGTTAGGAGAAAATTTTGAAAATTTAACTGCCGCAAACGCGTTTTCCTGCTATTTCAGCCGGTGAACAAAGCAACTTCAAAGTGGTCTAATATAGCCTAATTAAGGTGGCCGACTCGAATTCCAATCAATCGTTTACTGTCCACGAAGACGGGACCGTTGGGAGAACATTTTGAAAATTTAACTGCCGCAAACGCGTTTTCCTGCATGCTATTCCAGCCTGTGAATACAGCAACTTCAATTTGGTCCAATATAGCCTACCTGGCTGACCCGAATTCCAAACAACCAACAATCGTCACGCGGTATGAGGGCCTCACCCTGCCGGAGAATATTTTAAAAATTTAATCACCTCAAATGCGCTTTCTGCTATTCTAGCCCGTGTAAGCAACTCCAAAAGTATCCAGTGGTTTTTTAACCGAAATCCCACAAGTAGAGTGGCTCCAGACAAAATGTTTTAATCCATAGTCAACAAATTCGTGATATTTAATTACAACAAAGCAAAACTAGAAATGCCCGAAAAATTTCGGGTTTATAGACAACGGCGCGGGTTTTCTTTGAGAGGCGAAGAAGCGGAGCTGACCTTGTAGGCCTATGGATTCCCCCAAGAAAATTTTGGATTATTTGACGGTCGCAAACGCGTTTTACTGCTATTCCAGCCCCTCAAATTAGTGTTTTATTAGATTTCGGGCACTTTATTTTGCCAAGTAGATGAAATAAAATTTTTTTTTCATTTTACCCGTCTGCCCGAAAATCAGCTTACCCGAAAGTTAGGGGGGCAGCTGTCCCCCCCCCCCCCGCCGCCCCCCTGGCCCGTACGCCTATGGTTGGTGCAGTGTTTATGCAAACATGTAAGTTATGTACGAGAGTAGGAGGGCAGATGAAAGTAAATAGAACACCAGGATATACAGCCATTGAAAGTTACCTATGTGTAACTAGTTTGCGATTTTCTATCGATTGGCGTACAAAGGAAAGAAAAGAAAT